TGGCAGGTACATGTTAATTTATAAATGCAGTTCGTGGTAGCATGTGTTTACTGGTCACCTTGATAACTCATATAACTTAACTTTTAATGAAATATCGTCAACTTATTTACTTATTTAATTACACCTGTTACTCCTCTTGGAGGAGCATAGGCCGCCTACCAGCACTCGCCATCCAACCCTGTCCTAGGCAATCCTTTCTAGCTCTTTCCAGTTGTTATTTATCCTTTTCATATTTGTTTCTATTTTCCAATGACAGCTGGCTCAGTGGTCTAGAGGTTAAGCATTTGCGCACAAAACTGAAGGCCCTGGTTTCAAATCTCGCGAGGCAATATCGTGGATACGCACTGACGAGATTTCCTATACGGGAACGAAACGATCAACCAGTGCTTTCAAAATTCTGCAATCTAAGTCAAAGGTATTACTGAATTAATCTTATAACATATTACGAGATAACTACGTTACAATTACTGCATACAATACATGATAGTAAAACAAATTATTAATAGCCAGTGATTTGTGTTTATTTACACTACGACTATAAACCATCCAGCTCAGAGAACAAAACCTCAACAAAATCATTCACCTGAGCTACATATCTTTTCCACACTACTAACTAATAATAAGTAGTATTTTTCGAATTGCAGTAATTCTCGCTCAATATTACTGAAAATAACCGGTTTCCTATACAGAGAATGAATTATGAAATTGTTTATTTATTTCGAGTCATTTAAAACTCATATTGTTTATTCAGGGGGTAGTATAAATTTTGATAGATAAATAATTGAGAATGAATTAATCTTAAAATGAATAAGGCATATTAGAGCATCTTGTCCTTCATGGTTCACAGAAAACAACATGAATACACGCTCACTCATAAAAAAGTTATAAAAATGGAAGGAATCTAATGGCTGATCAAATATGAAGCTCCATGATAGTAACAAAACACAATTCGAAAATTCGAAAAACATATATAAGCGAAATAAATGGTATTCGACGAGATCCTCATGTGAAAGTTCGTTTTGCAGTTAAATGACTTATAATTATGATGACGTATTGTCCACTGAGTTCGATGGTTTGCTATGGAGCTTTCATTGTTCTTCTGAACAGCATCATCAGTTCGAATTTCAGTAAGATGTGAAGGGTTTAAATTTCTCCACATATAAATCTCAGCTTATCCAACAGATCTCGATCTTGATTGGTTATTGTTGACTTTTAACTTGACACTGTTCACTTCCTTGTTTTGATTGCATATCCCACTGATTTGATTCTTGGTCATAAATTTTCAGTACAAAAGCTAACAAACGGATGATCCTACCATAAATAAGGGAAATATCAGAAATTACAACGAGATTATCGAAACCAACAAAATCACTACAATCAATCCTATGCAAACCAAAGGATAAAATGACAAAAAATGCCAAACATTTTATACAAAATAAATTGTTCCGACTGTGAAAACACTACACCCTCTTGATCTTCGCCAACACGAACACCAATTAACGGTAAAACGCCATGACATATCCTCTCTTATATCAAGGCATGTGGACATCTATGGACACACATCCGACTGGAAAACCGTTGACACCCTGGATAGAGGGAATTCTAAAAACGCCGAAGAATTTTTAGAACCTTGCCACTCAACTCAATCAGCAATCGACAAGCACATTGAAATCGATCCAATTTATCAACCAATCAGAAGAATTATGGATAAATATACGACCGAGAATCAAATCAGTGGGATATGCAATCAAAACAAGGAAGTGAACAGTGTCAAGTTAAAAGTCAACAATAACCAATCAAGATCGAGATCTGTTGGATAAGCTTAGATTTATATGTGGAGAAATTTAAACCCTTCACTTCTTACTGAAATTCGAACTGATGATTTTGTTCAGAAGAACAATGAAAGCTCCATGGCAAACCATTTAGTTCAGAGAACAAAGCTTCATCAAAAACTAGGGCATTTTATATAAGCGAATAGATATTTAAGGAGTGAATTTACGAAACATTAGAAATATATAATTCATAGAGTGAATATTGTAATTATGAATGTCGTAAAGTTTAAATGGAGCTTTATGATGCGCAATTAAGAGATCCAATTGTAAAAAATCTTTGTAATAAGAACAATTCTAATGACTGTAATTTAATGTAAATTAGAAATATTTTCTAAACGTAAGAATAAGAATTGTAAAAGTGAGAGTACAGATAGGTAAAGAAAATTTGACTAGAAACCGGGATAATGGTAAAGAAGTAAATCTTACAGATCTTTTTTTGCACGTAATCTCATACATAACATTATAGATAACCAGTGCTTCTGTAATGTAAAGTAGGTCAAGTCGTAAACTTCTTGGCATATCTAACTGCATTTTGTAAATGATGTCAAGTCATGAGTCCGAGATTGAACAACCTGTTTCCACCACAATTTGAAGAATCGATCATTTAATTTACATATTTTGACTATTTATAATTCACAGGGGTAGATGGTCTCGAATGTAAAGAAAAAGTGACTTCGATAAATAACGTATATACCTAGTTTTGCAAGAGCAGGTGAGGAGGTAAACGCAAATTTTAATGGTTAATCTTTCTGTTGAGAACATATACGAAAATGACAATAGTAATTTGGTGTATTAAAGGTCTATCAATATAACTTTTTAGTGCATCACGAACATTATCTCCCCTAAAAATTGAATTCTTTTGAAGAATGAGTGTTTTTTTTCTTGTTTATATTTTTCTCTATAAATATCAAAGGCTATACACTTTCTAAAAATCGACAGTCCTGTAAAAAATTTTTACGATAACTGATCCATCACTTCGTTCGGTAGATAAGATATCAAAGATATGAAGTTTTGAATTACATTCTTACTCCATCGTATGTTTAAATGATGGATGTCAATTATTATGAAAGTTGAGGATATCTTGAATGGTTTACGTTTCATCACATATAATGATAGCGACATTTTTTGAAATGAAGCTTTAAATCGTTAAAGAGATCTCAGAAGTGATAAGATTTTTATGAGAAGTTTCTTTCTAGTTCATTTATAAATAAGTGATTCCTGTTGACTACCTCCAACCACCATCTAAATCTCAATACATAGTGCCCGCAGTGTCGAGTCACCTAGACTGGTGGCCACATTGCAACATGATCGATAGCATTCGATCTGCACTAATAAGGACTAGACAAGCAAGACATTGATCACCACCCAGTGATCAATCAATTGTAATTATAAATAAGTGTATTGTACCTATACAGTTTAGATTATGATGTTTATTAGATTTGAGGTTTGAAGTCGAATTATTGCAACGAAGATTTTTCTTAAGGATTTCTGGATACTCATGAAAAAACGACCACCACATCAAAGTAGCAGCAAATGTCAAGACTTGAATAGTTGGGCTCAAAGTTAATAACATGAAATACCTTATTTTCTACTATTTTTTTCGTATTACGGAGATCAAACATATTGGTAGATAAACTTTTGATCTTTTCTCAATACATTTACAAAGAAAAATTACAAAACTATTCTTTAGAAAGCTGAACAACAAAATATGTTTAATTTTTTTTATTCGTATACATAAGTGATCATTAAAAGATCATGTTCTTACTTCACTGATCACTGCTCCTCACTAGAACTCTAGAGTTTACCTTTTGAAGCCATTCATTAGTTAGCATATGTTGATTAATATCAGGAGGGGTTTTGTGGACATTATTAATGTGACCAGTGTAATCCAACCAGGTCTGTTGTGAGATAGAAACTCACTCTAGACAATGGTGAATCTTTCGCCCAATTTCGTAAATTGTTTGTATTTAGACATCGGTAAAAAATTCAAACCCCCTTTGTTTGTTCAAAAACAGGTTGTTCTTACCTTAAACCTACCCTGGTAATATCGACTTATTATCCAGAGTGATTAGGTTTGTTTTGTGTTCACATTAGTATTATTATTATTACTCTTATCATTATCCTTATCTCCTCTTACCCTATTTCCAGTCTAGTTGACCTTTCATTTGTTATATATAAATGTTCTTAACAAGTATATGTGTGACCAGATTGTTCGAAATGTATTGCGCTAATATATCACATAGTTCTGAGAATCTTTGTCTACTAATATCATTATCGAAATTTATCAAAGGGACTGATTGTTTTAAATCAGTAACACCGTTGGATATCATTTTAGTGGTCTAGAGGTTAAGCGATCGTCCATGAGACTGATAAGTTCTGGGTCCAAATTTCGCGGGATTGGATCTTGGATGGACACTGCTGAGGAGTTCCATAATAGGACGAAAAGGCTGTCAAGTACTTCCAGGTTTTCCATGATGGTCTAGCTTCAATTGACTCATGATCTCAACTATTAAAATTACTATAATATTTACGAAACCCCATCTGATATTAATAAATTAAAAAGTAGAATAAACCAATTACAATCTACTAATTATAGTAATGCTGATGTCCTTATTAACTTAGTAACACACGTGACTAAACATAAAAACTGGCTTTTAGGTTTTTCATTCTATCACATATTAAAAGTGTCAGTTTTGTAGTTAAGTATAAAAATAAACAACTAAAACTACTAGCATATACAAAGATGAATAGTGACTAGCAATGTTTCGTCCATTTTTACCTATTATACTTGTGAATTAAAGCTAATATATCACAGCAATACATACAGTCAATAAGAGACTGATCAATTGCAATTCTAAATATTCATGGGAAGATTCAAGTAAACAGTAATACCAAGTGAATTTAAACTAAAACTACCATTCATTTTAATACATTTTGACAAGTAATAAACATTTGTTATACAGGTATTCCTTACTACATTGTCATGTTTAACCTAAAGCAGAAAGAGAGAGAGAGAGAAAGAGATGGGAATTTCTTAGATGTATTACTGTATAACCTTAATATTGATGTGTCTTCCCTACAAACGAATCGATATTGTACTTCACATGATTGTTGAATAGAAAGAATAGATACATTAACTATATATAGTGATAATATGTAAAAGGGGTTGAAATATCAGTTCATTCAAATTCAGTTGTTGTTTTATTGAATCTGTAAAGAAACAGAAGAAGAAGTAGAAGTAGAAGAAGAAGAAGAAGGATGTGCTCTTTCTGAAATGTCATTTGGAATAATTAAGAATATGAATTACTATCTAATAACTAGTTTTATATTATTGAATAATGGTTTATCATTTAAAACAAATCCTTTTGATAATGTCAATAATATTCATCTACAACCATCAATAGAAAATACCATGATTAATAATAATAATTCTAATCTTGTTTATACTGATTTACATAATGACAAAACAATAACATGTTTATCGGATAATCCAATTGTCCATACATCTGTTGGAATCTATTGTGGATTACGTGAAATAGTTCATTGGCCTAATGGACCAGCATCAATGGTTGATGTTTATTATGGTAATTTTATCAATTAAATTGTATAATCTTTTCTTTAATTAGGTTTAATAAAATGTTATTAAGATAATGAGTGTTATCATTTGTGACTTGTATGCCTTGTTAATGTATAACTTAATGATACCGTTAATCACAGAACAGTCATTTGTCAATCTGATCAATGACGCATAAGACATGTACGAGCATCCTAGAGTTCTTATCGGTCCTACTTCCCGCTTAACCCAGCCTGTTAAGACCACAACACCAATCTGAACCTCTGAGATATGAATCTTATATTTCAAACATACTAGGTTTATATACCAATCAGACAGACCACATCGTACCATAAAATATGAAACAACATTTGTACAAGAATTAGTCAAATATGGCTGTGAATGTGGGAGGCAGTGACTAATAGACAGGGAATAATTCAAGAATGGAAAATCGTATAATAACAGTTCATAGGTTAAAATAAAGCTTATAATAAGAGGAACACGAATATGAATAGTTTAGATATTCAATAATTATATGATAAAAATATACGCATTATATCGGTCCATAATGGATCCCAAAAGTTACCATTTATCATTCGCATCGGGATACAACTATAATATACACTTGTTCATAATAATTCAAATGTATGTAACTTAAATTTAGTAACCATTTTTTAGATGAAATTTGTATTACATCATTAACGTTATAGTCTTCTATCTATCTAATTGTTATTATCAAATGATTTTAAATGAAAGCATTTAATGACAATAAATCTGATACGATAATATCAATAAAATTTGACATATTCAATTCATAATGACTTAGTAACTAAGTGGATAATGCGATGACATTTGAAGTGAACGTTACTGGGTTGGAATCTCAGAATGAACATCAACTCTGAGATACAGGTATATCCAGATGACGAGTCCCCAATAAGACGAAACGTGCGTTGAACTGGATTCCACTGTTAGCTACTACCCATCTTTGCTTATAATTCATTAATTCACACTTTAATTCAGTGATATAATTAGAATAATGAATGTCTATGATAAATTAAAAAAGTGTAGTGTGAGATGAAGTTTATGAGAATTATGTAATAGATTTGTCAATTACATTTTGAACTAAAAGTATGAAGTATTAAAAACAAACAAAAATTAGACAACGTGTTGAAATCACTAAATGACAGAAACAGATAACCCAGATATTGAAACAGGCCGCCACGTATTCAAGATAAATCTCACCATTTATTGATATTATATAGAAATCTTATAAAGATCAAAAGTTTATCGCTAACGTATAGAATTGAATCACAAATTATCTTCTGTAATTAGTACGATGATCAGATAAACGATATCGTGAAACTTGGTTATTATTAGAAATAGTTTTTTGTGTGGATATTATGGTAATTTCAATAGTTGAGATCATGAGTTAATTGAAGCTAAAACACCATTGCAAACCTTGAAGCACTGGACAGCCATTTAGATCTATTGTGGCTAAGCACTCGCGTGTGAGACTGATAGGTCTTGGGTTCGAATCTCGCGCGGCGGGGTCATGGATGCACACGAATAAGGAGTCCCGGCTATCCGGTGCTTCTAGGTTTCCCATGGTGGTCTAGCTTCAATTAACTCATGATCACAATTATTGAAACTTGGTTATTTTGAATTAAATCTGAACTGTATAGACCCCTTGATATATTATGACATATAACATTGATATAATTCTAGATTTCATAATTATATTATTAATGTATTTATAAGTACAGTTGTAAACATCTGTCAAACATTTACTTTATATTATTAAGAGTAAATTTTAAGGTAATTTACAGACAACTAATTAGTTTGTCTACACTTTTCATTGTTCTAAATCTGATAATTGTAATTGAACAAAAACCTACGCCCCCCCACACGTTTATTGTTAAACAATAAATAAATTCTATGATATTTATTAATACTTAATCAGTGTCCCAATTTGAGAAAAAATTGGTTTCTAGGTGTGGTGTACCATCAATGATCTAAATAATAAACAGACATTGCAAATAAGGAATATCATACTTGATGAACAAGTTAGTAACTAATTGGGTTCAGTAGCTTAGCAGACAACATGTTGACGTTAAAGTGATATTTACTGGATTCAAGTCTTATTATGAACATAAATACTGAAAACAAGTGCATCCAGCTTCTAGGTTCTTAATGGAAAGATATAGATATCTCCCGAATTCCACTGGTAGCTAAAATATAAAAAAACGTCTGTTACTTTTTGTAACTACAAGCAATATCAAGGCATAAGCTCACAGAGTATTGAGTCACGTAGTACACATGAAAAGAAATAAGCACTTCATTCTATTATCAGCGTAGGAGTCCCATACTAGGACGTAAATGGATGTCCAGTGCTTCCAGGTTTTTCCATGGTGGTCTAGCTTCGATTGACTCATGAACTCAACTACTAAATTACTTTATTTTATATTTAAAATAATGATGAGTTAGAAGATGTGTTTAGGTATAGCAAAACACAAACAAACTCTAAAGAAATTTTGTATCATATCTAAATGAAGCAAACTACATTTTCAGCAGTTCGTGTTTAATGGTTTTACAGTTTTTATGGTTTTGTGATAAAATCAGATTAGTACTTGTGTAGTAAGGATAGAAGACCTACGGCCTATAGTATTCCTTTTCGATTATGATTTTGTAAATGAGTCAATTAAAGGTGCGGACACCACTGCTTCGAAACTACTATAGAGAACAACTGGAAAAATATCAAAGAAGCATTAACTTAAACGTGTCAAGAGGTTCTGGGTCTAAAGAAACACCATCATATGGAGTGGATCTCTATAGAAACTGTGGACAAGATCAAAGAAAGGAAAAACAAGAAAGCAGCAATTAAAAACAACCGAACACGAGCAGAGAAAGTTCAAGCACAAGCTGAATACATAGAAGCAAACAAGCAAGTGAAGAAGAGCATTAGAGCCGACAAGAAGAAATACGTGGAAGAACTAGCAAAGATGGCGGAAAAAGCTGCTAGAGAAGGAAATCTGAAACAGCTTTACGATACAACGAAGAAACTAACTGGGAAATATGGTAAACCAGAGAGACCGGTCAAGGACAAAGAAGGCAGGCCAATCACTGAATTTAAACAACAGCAGAACAGATGGGTAGAATACTTCGAGGAACTCCTGAATAGGCCAGCTCCAATGAATCCACCAGACATCGAAGCAGTGCACACAGATCTTCCTATAGATGCCAATTCACCAACGACGGAAGAAATCAGAATGGCCGGTCATCAGACAAATCAAGAGCGGGAAAGCAGCAAGACCTGATAATATACCAGCTGAAGCACTGAAGTCAGACATCGAATTAACTACAAACATGCTTCACTTTCTATTCAAAAAGATTTGGGAGGAGGACCAAGTGCCGATGGACTGGAAAGAAGGACAACTCATCAAGATTCCAAAGAAAGGAGATCTGAGCAAATGTAAAAACTACAGTGGAATCACACTACTGTCAGTAACAGGAAATGTCTTCAACAGAGTTTTGCTGAACCAGATGAAAGACGTAGTAGACGCCCAACTTCGAGAACAACAAGCTGGATTCCGTAAGGATCAGTCGCGCTCAGACCAAATTGCAACACTACGGATCATCGTCAAACAATCAGTTGAGTGGAACTCATCACCATACATCAACTTCATTGATTATGAAAAAGCATTCGACAGTGTAGATAGGAGGACATTATGGAAACTTCTTCGACACTACAGAGTTCCTGAGAAGGTTGTCAACATTATCCGGAACTCATATGACGGACTACAGTGCAAAGTCGTGCATGGAGGACAGCTGACAGATGCATTCCAAGTAAGGACCGGAGTCAAACAAGGCTGTTTACTCTCTCCCTTCCACTTTCTTGTGGTGGTCGACTGGATTATGAAGACCTCGACATCTGAAGGAAAACACGGCAGACAATGGACAGCTCGAAATCAATTAGACGATTTGGACTTCGCAGATGACCTAGCCCTTCTATCACGTACACACGAACAGATGCAGATGAAGACAGCCAGTGTAGCAGCAGTCTCTGCATCAGTAGGCCTCAGTATACACAAAGGGAAAACCAAAGTCCTCAAATTCAAGGCGAAAAACAACAATCCAATCACTCTTGATGGCGAAACTCTGAAAAATGTAGAGTTCTTCACATACCTAGGAAGCATCATCGATGAACAAGGAGGTTCATATGCAGATGTAAAGGCAAGAATTGGCAAAGCAAGGGTCGCATTCCTACAGTTAAAGAACATATGGAACTCAAAACAACTTTCAACCAATATCAAAGTGAGAATCTTCAATACCAACGTCAAGGCAGTTCTACTGTACGCACGCAGCTGAAACTTGGAGAACTACCACAACCATCATCAAGAAGGTACAAGTATTTATAAATAGCTGTCTTCACAAGATACTCAGAATCCATTGGCCTGATACCATCAGCAACAGCCTTTTGTGGGAGAGAACAAATCAGCTTCCAGCTGAAGAGGAAATTAGGAAAAGAAGATGGAAATGGATAGGGTATAAACTACACAAATCGTCAAACTGTATCACAAGACAAGCCTTTACTTGAACTCCTGAAGGAAGGCGGAAAAGAGGAAGGCCAAAGAACACATTACGTTGAGAAATAGAGGCAAATATGAAAAGGATGAACAACAATTGGAAGGAGGATTGCCCAGGACAGGGTTGGATGGAGAATGCTGGTGAGCGGCCTATGTTCCTTCACGAGGAATAACAGGCGTAAGTAAGTAAGTACATCACTGTTTCAATTAACAGGTTCTAAGAATTGATGACTCAGTGTGAAAACATGTATGCCACGGGTAGTTTTTTTGTTCTTGACTTTTCTAATCGCTTGCTATATCATTTGAGATGTTCCGATCTTGTGGGGGGAAAAGAGAGGATATATTAGGTCCAAAATCATTTTTCAGTATTCTATTCATCATTATCAGATCTCTCTTTAATTTATCATAGGACAGATTAAAAAGGTTTACCTTTACAAGCTGCTCCTTGTATGCTATACATTAGTATTCAGGAATTAGACAAGTAGCTGTCCTCTGAACATTTTCCAGGATATATGAGTCACCTTATAAACAGGGGCTTGAAGCCTGAATGCAGTTTTCAAGCTTAGTTCTCACCAAGGTTATGTATACTGTAGTGAACATGGTAGTATCTAACTTATTAAATGTTCGTTTTAAAGCCCAGAGGGTTCTAAACGCCTAGGTGTAACCGGCAACAGGCCGTCGTCCTAAGATCATGACTCACTGTTACCACAAGATCCTTGTGAAACCGGACCACGGGTATAAGCACTTCGTCTATTCTGTACCTATTAACATTTGTATCCCCAAAATGCATGTAGACACACTGTGTCATGTTGATAGGCATCAGCCATTCCTTAGACCAGCAAAATCACTCTTTAAGTTTGAAAAAAAACTGAGATGCACCATATAATTAAACAATAAATAAATATATAACATTTTCTATATTATTTTATAAAGGTATACGTTATGCTCAATCACCTACTGGTTCATTACGCTTTAAAAAACCTGTAGAACCTATTCCTGAACCAAAGAAAATTTTTATGGCCGATAAATTACCTTCTACTTGTCCACAACCAAAAGATACAATGTTTCAAGTAAGTTAATTCACAATATTGTAACTCTTCTCTTTAAAATATTAACAATTTAATCACAATCTATACACTTTATACATTGTGGTTTGAAGGTGGGGAATGCGAATCTATCGACTTAAAAAATAAATAAATATCTTAATTTGCATAATTGAGATCATGAGTCAACTGAAGCTAGACCACCATGGAAAACCTGGAAGCACTGGACAGCCGTCCCGTCTTATTGTGTAACTCCTCTACAATGAGCATGCATAATCCCGCCTCGCGAGATTCGAACTCAGGAACTATCAGTCACGCGAGCGAACGCTTAACTTCCAGACCACTGAGCCGGCCGGTATCCAACTGTCCTACTCTCTAACTTAAACTAATCCATTGTGGTCTAGCTTCGGTTGACTCATGGTCTCAACTATTAAAATTACAAAACCTTTTCTGATTTTAATTGCATTAAGTTTAGTCGAAAACTTGCATTTTCACAGATAATTCACAGTCAAGTTAATCTAATGAATATCCATAGTGGTTGAGCAGTAAATGAAAGAAGACCAAAACTTTGAGATTACTAAGTGTTTTTTTCAATACTTTGTGTTTAACCTTCCCCTCCCCCCGGAAAAACACATTAAAAATAGTAGTATGTGCAAAATGGCTATCATTTTATTTTCATGTAAGAATTATATTGTTCTGTATTATGTAATCAACAGTATTTATTGGCCCGGGATCTGACTTCAATTCGATCGTATGAATGTTTGCTGTCGAAATGTACATCCTGACTATTCTTGTACATAATTATCGACTTAGATTGCGTTAGTGAATAACGGAATTAAATAAGCCAAATACGCGAATGAATATCACATGCACCCATTGATTTGAACAGGCAATCAGGGAATGAAAAAAAAGAGAAGTGAGCGAAGCGAAATGACGCGCAGTGGAGAAGGAGTGTGGACCGACTCAACATTTATAGTCACGCAAAATTAAGCTACAGACATGTGATGAGTAGAATAAGAAGTATACACACATATATACCCATATAAAGCAGTCAAGGTTGATAAGTGAATAATTAACAAGATCAAAACGTGACTCAAGTATAATGGATAAACTGGCCTGTCTAGGAGCTAGAATAAGGTATATGGGCTTAACATATCAACCAACACTACAGGTATGTGTAAAGTATTAGGAATATAAGATATTCTACTTTATTCAGTGTCAAATGCTGAATGTTACATCAAATATATTCTTTAATATATAATCAGGAAATCGATTGTTTGGATTAGATTCATTGATTATTAAGTCATGATCATGATCAATGTCGTTTATTTAGCTCTTGATCTCTACAACATTCTACCAGTCAATTTGCTATATGGTCACTAGTCCATTTGACTAGACATGTACACGATATTGAGATGTTAGGTGATTAGAGATGGTCGATCGTATGCATTGGGTCTCTAATCACCCTAAGACTTCAGGTTTTTTCTCAAACTAGTGTCATTTAGCAAGAAACCTAAATCCATGGTTTGTTGCTGACTCTCTTTGACCAATTAACAACAGATTTAAATATCATGTGACTAGATGAAAAATAGATGACGTTAATAATACTATTGCTAGTATATCCATAAACAAAATATCATTGTCCATTGAATAAGTACTATATATTAAAACCATTATTAGATATCAAATTTGGCTAAATTCATATGGCCATTATCAATGTATGACTTGGTATCCTTATGTATCGGTGATAGTTTTTCTGGTTAGCGTAATTTTAACGAGTTAAGTTTCTACGGGGTGTGGTAGCTAACCCCATGCCCAACCCTCTTCCTTTATCCGTACTTGGGACATGCAGTAGCTCCAGAGGGGCTTCAGGCGGAGTTATCGGTAATGGTTGCCACATCATATATCACTATTAAGAAATAGAAAATCAATTAAGTGAGAAGTTAAGAACTACAATTAGTTTCATATTCAATAAGAAATTAAATATGAGGTATTTGATTCGCGAGAAATAAAATAATTTAAAGAACAAAAAGGCAAGAATGATTAAGAAGATATAGAATGAATACAATCATGTCGCCTAGACTTGTTTCCCTCAGAACCACCCACTGTCATGAATCATTGATAGTGACTACTGAATATGTTGAAACCAGATAGTCTTCATATATCTATATGTTGGATTCATGGCTTAATGTTAGATCTTGATCTACCTCCCCCCCTGGGTTTTTAAGCACGTTCTTATCATAATCAATCATAACAACACCAAACCTAAAAACATCTCATTCAAGTTAAATGGTACAACCTATTTAAAAGTGATTCTAAGGAACTAGTAATAGGCAATGAAAAAATATCTCTCATAGAGTAATTTGCTGGCAAAACTTCTAACCATATACGTAATAATAGAACTTCTGAGAAACAGAAGTCTTTAATTCCAAAATGTCTGATAGACATAAAAATGGGCATATCTCCAAGGTAAAATGTCAGCTAATTTTAGAAACCAGCTAGGAAATTGGAAAGTTAGCTAATATAATTGTATCCATTCTTGATTTTAGAATTCAGCGGCAGCTAGAATGTGGGTACCAAATACACCAATGTCAGAAGATTGTCTTTTCTTAAATATTTGGGTACCTTTAAAGGAATCGAATAGTAGCCATTCGAATTCAAAAGAAAAACTTGCAGTTATGGTGAGTTATGTACAATACCTTATGTATAATGTTATCAAATATTCACTTAGCCAATTGTTTCATTCACACTAAATTTACTTTACAATGAGGCACCAGATAGATATGCGCCACATGAATTATTCGATTTATTTGAGGGCAGGGATACTCCTCGTGTGCCTAAACCGAAGCAAGCGGTTTTCTTAGGATAACATACTCGGAGCTTTTGACCTAAAGTTCTAGTCCGCAGAGTAGTGGAGAAACTCAAGGAGATGTAGTCCCATGGTAGCCGGTGACTAAAAATAGGTTCAGACTCTATTTGTTCCTTCACGATCCTGAAGCCAATGTTCACCATTGGTTGGGAATTAGGGCTTTCCAATTCCCTAGGTGAACTCTCCTCGTTCACCGACCAAGTTAAAACGCCAGGTATTCGGTTTTCGTCCTCTCACTTTCGTAAACAACACTCCCACCGCGAGAACGCTGTAATAATAATAATGTAATAACTACGTAAATTTCTAATTTGGTTACTGCATCACCCACTTTCTGTTTATACATCCATCTTCAAATGACCCTACGTATACTTATCCACAAATACACAAAATATCATTTATCAACATCCAATTATTTAGTATTATGTTATATATCGATATTGGACTACTAGGCTGCTTGGTACCTGTCCCACACGATTGAACTGTACTATCCAGTTTGTAGTGTTCAGGCTTATATGGTGACTGGTTCGTCTGTGAAGCAGGGTTGAGCTGTATTGTTTGAGTTGTCACGTGAAAGTCTGGATGATGACCGGTTCTCCTATAAACAAGTGTAAAATTACCCTAGCCTTATACTTACTTCCTTACGCCTGTTACTCCTAATGGAGCATAGGCCACCGACCAGTATTCTCCAACACACTCTGTCCTGAGCCTTCTTTTCTAATTCCATCCAATTCTTGTTCATTTTTCTCATGTCTATCTCCATTTCCCGGCGTAATGTGTTCTTTGGTCTTCCTCTCCTCCTTTGGCCTTGATGATTCCATGTGAGGGCTTGTCTTGTGACCCAATTGGGTGCTATCCCCAATGTGTGTCTTATCCACTTCCAGCGCTTCTTCCTGATTTCTTCCTCCGCTGGGATCTAGTTTGTTCTCTCCCACAGTACGTTACTGCTAATAGTGTCCGAACAACGAATCTGAAGTATTTTGCGTAGACGGCTGTTAACAAACACCTGTATTTTCTGGATGATTGCTTTCGTAGTTCTCCAGGTTTCCGCCCCATACAGTAGAACTGTCTTGACATTTGTATTGAAAATCCTGACCTTGGTGTTGGTTGACAGTTGCTTTGAGTTCCAGACGTTCCTCAGTTGTAAATATACTGCTCTTGCTTTGCCGATCCGCGCCTTCACATCTGCATCAGATCCACCATGTTCATCAATGATGCTGACCAAATATGTAAAGGTTTTTACATCTTCCAAATCTTCTCCGTCAATTGTGATTGGATTGGTGCATGCTGTGTTGTATCGGAGAACCTTGCTTTTCCCTTTGTGCATATTGAGACCTATTGCTGATGAGGCTGCTAATACACTGGTCGTCTTCTCCTGCATTTGTTGTTGCGTTTGCGATAGAAGGACCAGATCATCTGCGAAGTCCAGATCGTCCAACTGCATCCTAGATGTCCATTGTATCCCGTGTTTCCCTTCAGATGTTGACGTCTTCATGATCCAGTCGATCACCAGGAGAAAGAGAAAGGGTGAGAGTAAGCAACCTTGCCTAACACCGGTCTTCACTTCGAACGACTTTGTCAACTGTCCTCCATGCACGATTTTGTAGTGTAATCCATCATAGGAATTCTGTATGATATTGACTATCTTCTGAGGCACGCCGTAGTGTCGAAGAAGCTTCCATAGTGTTGTCCTGTCCACGCTGTCAAACGCTTTTTCGTAGTCAATGAAGTTGATGTAGAGTGATGAATTCCATTCAATTGATTGTTCCACAATGATCCGTAGAGTTGCGATTTGGTCTGTACACGATCTATCCTTACGGAATCCTGCCTGTTGGTCACGAAGTTGGGCGTCTATGCAGTCCTTCATCCTGTTTAACAATACCCTGTTGAAGACTTTTCCCGGTATTGAGAGAAGAGTGATGCCCCTGTAGTTATCACAGTTGCTGAGATCACCTTTCTTTGGTATTTTGATCAGAAGTCCTTCTTTCCAGTCTATTGGTAATGTTCCTCATCCCAAATCTTATTGAAGAGAATGTGGAGTATCCTTGCAGTTGCCGCTACGTCTGCTTTTAGTGCCAATGCAGGAATGTTGTCTGGTCCTGCTGCTTTGCCATTCTTGATTTGTCTGGTGGCCCTGCTGATTTCTTCAATTGTTGGTGGGCCAACATTGATTGGGAGGTGCGTGGGTGATGTTTCGATGTTGGGTGGGTTCAGTGGAGCTGGTCGATTTAAAAATTCTTTGAAGTGTTCTACCCACCTGTTTTGTTGCTCTTCAATGTTAGTGATTACCTCGCCTTCCTTGCTTTTCACTGGTCGTTCTGGTTTGCGGCGATTTCCAGAGAGTTTCTTTTTCGTGTCATACAGTTGTCTCATGTTCCCTTCTCTTGCAGCCTTTTCCGCCGTCGTTGCTAAATCTTCCACATATTTACGTATGTCGATTCTGATACTCCTCTTCACTTGTTTGTTTACTTCTGTGTATTCAGCTTGTGCTTTGGCTTTTTCTGCTCTTGTTCGACTGGTATTGATTGCTGCCTTCTTGTTCCTTCTTTCTTGAATCTTATCCAGTGTATCGACAGTGATCCATTCCTTGTGATGGTGCTTCTTGTGACCCAGGACCTCATGATATGTTGAAGTGATTGCCTCTTTGATCTCATTCCAGTTGCTCTCCACAGTAGTTCCTTCTCCATTGAGTAGATCATGAAAGGCCTGGAACTTGTTGCTGAGGTCTATCCTTAGTTTTTTGAGTTTGTTAGTATCCTGAAGAAAGGGCGTATTGAACTTTTGTGATATTGTCCGCCCCATTGTCCAGTGTTTCTTGAGTTTCTATTTCATCTTGGCGACCAGCAAGTGATGATCTGATGCTATATCACCTCCTCTCTTGGTTCTCACGTCCTCTATAATCCTCCTGAACGTTTTGTTGATGGAGATATGGTCGATTTGGTTTTGCGTGGTGTGATCCGGTGAAGTCCATGTGGTTTTGTGAATGCGTTTATGTGGGAATATGGTGCCGCCTATGACCAGTTTATTGAAGGCACATAGGTTTGCAAATCTCTAACCATTTTCGTTCCTTTCTTCCAGTCCTTGTCGTCCCATGATGTCTTCACATCCAGTGTTGTCCGTTCCAACCTTGGCATTGAAGTCTCCCATCCGAATGGTCAGGTCCTTTGTTGATTGACTGCAGCCTATCGTAGAATTGATCTTTATCGTCTTCATTTTAGTCGTTGGTAGGCGCATAGCATTGAATGATGTTCATTGAAATGCCCTCTTTCTTTGTTTTGAATGAGGCTTTGATGATCCTTGGTCCACGAGATTCCCATCCTGTAAGTGCATTTTTTGCTTGTTTGGACAGCATCAGTGCAACCCTTGTGTATGTGGAGCATTCTCTTCTTTATGGCCGGAGTATAACAGAAGCTCTCCTGAAGTTAGTCGTTGTTGTCCAACTTGCGTCCAATGTGTTTCACTGATCCCAAGCACCTCTAGGTTATATCTCCTCATTTCTGCAGCAATTTGGAGGGCTCTCCCGGTGTCCCACATTGTACGAACATTCCATGTACATAAATAAATGGTCGCTCTGGTTGTCAGAAGGGGCATTAGCCTCGTAACTCTCTAAGAAATTCGGCTTTCATCATGAGGCGTCATAGTTCTTGTAAATGAAGACCTTCTGACTCCCGGGGCAGAGTTTAAAAGGTTTGAATAATTTTTTCTGGTTAGCGTTTTTTTAGCGAGTTAGTTTTCTACGGGATGGGGACGCTAACCCCATGCCCAACCCTCCTCCTTTATCCGGGCTTGGGACCGGCAGTAGCCCCCAAATAGACTCCAGGCAGAGTTACCCTAGCCTATAAGGGTATATTATATAACTGTGAACTATATATCGATGTGAATATAGTTGTAAGCTTTTCAACAGAACCCACGTATCAAACTGCTTTTGTATAACTCTGTATCAATCCTTGTATTTGCCTTTTATTCGAAGGAAAAGTACTTTTAGTTGTTAAATACTACATAAGGTTTTCATATTTTTCTTTATATGTGCTAAGCAAATTACGCATGTGACCGTCATTATAATAGTTCATGTCAAATAGTCAATCAGTCGATGGTATAATATAGCAGAACGATACATAATCTCCAATCCCTTCCTTAATTATCACAAATGCAAGGAATACTCACACAATTAATTCAAATAATTTCTGATAACTAAACATTCGAATACAGAGATGAAATTCTTATTGATCATCTTTTGAATCATGATTTGTACTAATGTGATATATGTTACTGATTTCGACAGATATAAGTAGTATGTATCATCAATCAAAATTGAAATGCTTGGAGGCAGAATGTTATTGAGATTAAAGAAACGAGGACGAGAAAAAAGAATGATTGGTGTGATTCTCAAACTTTACTAAGATCTTCTGTAGTTCCATGTTGAAACATGTTCGATTGTAATGAGTAGTATTAGAAACCAAAACTATGCATCAGCAGATTCATAGATATTTGTTTTACCATGATGTATTTTAAAAAATCTTCAGTAGGCAGGTGTTATGTTTTGTAATTACTTGTCTGAAAATGTTTTCTTCCAAAACAGTTATGGATATACGGTGGTAGCTTTTATATGGGAACAGCAACATTGAGCGTATATGATGCGAGATTTTTAGCTGCTAGACAAAATATTATTGTTGCATCAATGAATTATCGTTTGGGTTCATTTGGTTTCCTTTATATGAATACGGAAGAAGTAAGTTTATTTATTTATTTACTCAAACACATAAACATTGGTACAAAAGGGCACTCAATAGATATGCGCCACACAGTCACTTGAATTGTATTTGGGTTGCGACACTACCCGGGTGCCCAAACCAAAACAGGTGGTTTTCTTAGGGGGACGCACTTGGAACCTTCGACCTAAAGATCTAATCCACAAGACAGTGTATCAACGTCAGGAGATGCAGTCCAATAGTAGCCGGTGACCAACAAATAGGTTCATACGCCATTTATTCCCTTAGGATCCTGAAGACATTAACATTCGTGTCTTTGTCCTATCAGATATAAAAAGAATATAGTTTGACAGAAGGAAAGTCATACACTTTTAGTAATCGAAGACATATAATAATAAAATTACCTATTTGACATTCATTGTGACCCTAAATAAACCCCTAATAACTCGTAGAAGAAACCATAAATTGCAGCTGTAATTCTTTTAAATGAGAATGTCAAAACTTACAAATATACTTCGGTTTTAATTATCATGTGAGCTATTTTATCTTCAACCTACAGTAGATAGCCAATTAGATAAATTGTTGGACCTACATTTAATAATCAGTTATTAGAGTAAAAACGAATAATGAAAAATGTTACATTTTGTTGTGGTTAAATGGGAACGATTTCAGAAGATCATTTTTAAAATTCTGATACTAGGATATCATTACAATACTAGGCAGTTGGTTATTTCATCCACTAGAGATATTGCTTAGTAATTATCATCAACATAAGGAAATGAAATGGGCCTATTAACAATCGTGATTAAAAATGTAACATCAAAAAATTCAGAACACATTTTTTAACAATATGAGCGGCTTTAATTCACTCAGGGTTAAGTTAATAAAGAAATTCAGTTTATTGGTAGCAAAATTTATGGAATTTATGCAGATCAAATCCTATCGATCAAGTTTCAATGTGGTTACTAGCCTAGGTGACTCGACATTGCGTGAACAATGTTAAGATAAGATAGTGGTTGGATGTAGTCAACAGGAAACTCTGAATCTAGGTTTCGTGTTGACATTGATCGCCAATCAGTGATCAATCAATTGTAAATACATCTCAGTCGGACAAAATCTCAGTCACGGTCCGGATAGCTCGGCGGTAACGTCTTCGATTGTGAAGCTGCGTGACACGAGATCGAGTCCGTCAGGGAGCGTCAGCTCCCTCAAGATTGTAGGTGCACCTTGCTACCGAGGTCCAGAGTTTCTTGTTGACTACCTCCAACCACCATCTTACTTTCAGTACTTATTAAGATTCTTTAAAAGATATTCAGTTCCAGATAATTCACATTTCACAATGAAAACTAATTATTTTACTTTGGAGTTGTGTACTGCTGTTTAAGAATACTTGATACTTTCATTGCAATTCAATAGGAAATATTTTATTCTTTCTTTACATATAACATGCAATCATACATGACTAATATAGGAAGAAAGAAGTTGTCAACTTTCAAATGATAAAGAATGATATCATTCAATGGAATGATTGGAGTTTATTCAAAAAAAAAGAAAAAGTTATAGAAATATCCCTGGATCAAAAGTGATCTAGTGGTTAAGAGCTCGCGCACGAGACTGACCGGTCCTGGGTTCGAATCTCGCGAGGTGGGATAGTGGATGCTGAGGAATCCAACCACAGGACGAAACGGCCGTCCAGTGCTTTCAGGTTTTCCATGGTGGTCTAGCTTCATTTTTCCCATGATCTCAACCATTGAAAAGTTTATCTGGTTAAATTTAGTATTTTAAATCAAATTTACTCCAAAATATACTACTTATTAGATATTGTTAATCATGAATTTTTAAACTCTTTTTCGTATTTTAGGCACCAGGTAATATGGGTCTTTGGGATCAACGTTTAGCTATGAAATGGATTAAAGATCATATTGAAAATTTCGGTGGTGATCCACATCGTATCACTCTTTTTGGTGAATCAGCTGGAGCTGTAAGCGTGAGTACACATGTCGTCAGTCCATGGTCTCATTCATATTATAACAATGCAATAATGCAATCTGGTTCAATTTTTAGCAACTGGGGTCTTGCAACAAGTGAAGTATCACTAAATCAAACGCAAAGGTATATTTCATGCATAGAATTCCTTTTATTACATTAAAGAGAGCAAGAATGAGGATTGGTACAGAATAGTGATTGGATTCATCTTATTTCGTCAGGTTCTCATCAGCTGCTTACAACCTATAATATTTAAAATCAACTCTATCACAGATATTCACATACTTATAAATACGAAGGTGATTAAAGATGAATATGCGTTACATGATGTAACGAAGATTCCGATAGAGTTAACAAAGTCATAAACAATTTTGTTTCGGATAAATAAAGTTTACGAGGGAAAGTTCCAGAACATTGAAATAGTAATTAGAAATTATGGAGTTGACAAACATTAGACGATTATGTAATGAGGTAACTGAAAATAGGTTATGGGGTGGTCGGTATTCAATATAATCCTTAAACTTCGTATACAGTTCGTCTTGATAACCGTCACTAGATAACGCCCCAACGGTATATTGATCAGAAGGCGAATACAGTGTTGATTATGTTTATTATGGGACTACATACACAGATATCCAAAATTACAGATGCGTTAAACAAGCATAGAAGAGTTGTGCCGAAAGGCAAGCAGCCAAACGAGCGAGTGAGTCAGCGATTATGAGTACGAGTAAACGAAAGAGAGCAATGAACATGAATAACATGGACATATATATACATAGTGAAATGAATGAATCATCGAATCAATCAAGCGGTTAAATGTAAGGCTAGCAGTGTGAATGAATGCGTAGGCAGTAAGCAATGCTCAAGCATACATGTTCATACATTCGCAACAATAATAAAGGTACAATGATAAAGATAAGTTGTTGTAAGGATGACTCAGTTCAACAATCTCAATTGAAAATGAGTTGCTATAATATTGATGGTAATAAAGAATGATATGAATTGAGATCAGTCAATTATGAATTAAAGAGAAATGACAATGATGTAAATTAAACTGCAGAAAGAGTTGAAATAATGAATGACGTAATAAATAAATAAGGGGGGGGTAATGTTACCAGTGTAAACAAAGATTTATTATTGTTTATTTTTATATCTGCTTTCAGACGTTTGATTGCGGTTGACATTAAGCCCACGGCATTTAAGATTCCCTACCACCCATTTCTAAAAAAATGTATGGTGTCAAAGAAAAATTTAGAGATCGGTGATTGGTGTACTTGTTTTGCAGGTGTGTGCTCAAGTGATAATGAACAAACATTTTGTCACCTTTAATAATTTTGTTATTGGTCGTAAACTGTTCATCTCTGTAATCTGATTTGTTGAAATTGAAATCACATCTAGAGCTGTGATTGGATGTCAGAATTTAGATTTTTAGATTTGAAATTTAACGATAATGAATAAATCTTTTTGTGTAATGTAAGTTTTGTAAGAAATTTAGAAATTTATAGAAAAAAACACCAACTTCTGTGCAATCCTACTGTTACTGAATGTGTATTGGGATAAATTTTTGATTTCCGATCAAAAATTTTAATGTCACGAGTACTTATATGTATCACATAAAAATAAATTTTTTGCAAAAATGCAACTGAAAACCGGTTTGAATATTTGATAATAGTGATTACTGAATGAGGTCGCTATTCTAATGCTGAATACCCAATTAATAAACAAACTATCATCAAAGTGTGTGCATAGTTTTATTTGTAACACATGGTCTGTTAATTCGAGAAACAAATCAACATATTAATAAATCATCATGATAAATTACTGATTGCAATATGTATAATTCAGGTGAACCAACCGTAGACCATCATTGAATGAACTGACTTTGACAGTATATGAATGTAGTAATAAATTTAACCGAAATAGGCACTTAATATTTAGTAAACGATTATTTTGTAAATGGTCATTCTTCTTAATGAGACTTAGAAAAAGGGTTAGATGTCAATTCGGTTCATTTTAAAAGTCCATTGAAACACGGTTTATTGTTTTCACTTGTGATTTATTTGTAGTTCTGTATTTTAAAATTAATTTTCTTTGGTCGTAATCAAAACTGGTGTGTGTTTCATCAGTCATGTGTGAATATTGTTAACCGCCGTAATATGAAACCTGAACTATATCTAGACATTATGAATGTAACCATTTTTGACAAGCATTTGAAATATCAGTTACATGAAGTGTCAATGAACAAGCCTACGTCGTCTGACTGACTGACTCAACAAATATCTATCGACATTAAACGTATAAATATGAATAAGGTCAACTGTATCAATGAACATTTACAATTATATTATTATTCACTTTCCTTATTATTATTATTATTATTATTATTATTATTATTATTATTATTATTATTATTATTATGTCAATTGACAAGATTCAATTCCCATACTATGTAATATTTCATTGACACAATTTTTTTTGGAATTTTAAATTTTCCTATTATGCTCTTCCACTGAACACTTTACTTCAAATAATCCAGGCCATCATAGAATGACCTTTCTAATTTGCAAATGTTACAATTTGTAAGTATATATATATCGTAACAGATGTAAACGTTCACCATTGTTAACACATTACATTGTCAAATTCATTAATGCCATGCCTTATTGTTGGCCTTTATAAATTATAAAAATTATGGGCTTATAACTGTATAATGTGATGATGAAGTTATTGAAAACGATTGTTCGCTACATTTTATTTTATTTTTGAATATTCTATGACAATTTTTATTACTGCTACAATCACATTGTAGCAGTCATTAATAGTTATATAGCTGTGCAAATGAATACCTTGATATAATCAGTATTTATGAATCACAATGAAGGCTTAGTTGACGATCAGACGTACTTCTTACGTACGCATAGTTCTGGTTTCAGGTTCTTTGAATATAAAACAAGAATATGAAATTCTTGTTTTTTGTATTCATGAAACGGATAAAATTCTTATTTCTTTTAACACTTACTATATGACCTTTAATCACATGAATCATTTCAATAATGATGGTTTCAACTTGTTTTATGTCAATATTTTAATCATAAATAAGTTAATTTTCTTCATTGTCTTTACTTGTCTATGAGCTTTAATCACATTTATCACTAATATATATTCTCATCAACTTATTGACCTAACGAGCAAATTAGAATTTTCACTATATTGAAATATTCCTATGGAAATTGGCTAAAATGTACTATTATTAGATACTTTACAAGTGTTACTAAAACATGAACATTAATCACAATATTTTTAATATAAAATTACTAGATTAGTCTTCATCAGATGACAAAATCTTGTTTACGTTTTCTTAACCTTTATATCCATTCTGATATTTGACCAATTTAACGCAGTTGTTCACCAACGTGGTTTCAATCGATGATTTTAACACTTACTATATGACCGTTTAATTAGATTAATGATTTCAATGATGACTGCTTGAACTTGTTTAATAATGTCAGTATATTATTCATAAGGAAGATAATTTTCTCCAATTTGTTTACTTCTCTATGAGCTTTAATCACATTCATCTTTGTAACTATCTTATTATATTCACTAATAAATGTCATCATAAATTTATTCACCTAACGACAAAATAACGATTTTCACTGTTTTAAAATATTCCTATTAAAATAGTTTACAAATATGTAACTAAGACATGAACGGTAATCACATTATTTCACATCTAAAATTATTAGATCAGTGTTCATTAAATTACAAAATCTTGTCTGTTTCCTTAACCTTTATATGTATTATACATTAGAAACAAGTTTACGAATATACGAGCGATAATCGCTTATAGATTATTTATATCTAAGGTATATCTAAATGCATTCGACATTAAAAAGTGCCTAAACACTTGACCTTTGGCAAAGACAAAAACAAAATTGGAGAAAATGCCTTTAAATCAATTTGTGGGTGGCCCTGAAAAGGGCCTTTAATCGTTCTCGCAAACCGATTTCAATGGAAAATGTACATCTTGGCTTTTACCCGGCAATCTGAGGTATATTTCTGTAATCTTGCTTCCATCCAATATCCAACGCGAAGTAGCACACTAAAGATAGATCTCAGCACAGGTATTTTTCGACTCAGTTGATGCATCTTCAAAATTCGGTGACTTGTCTCAACAAAGTTCGTATTATTGAGTTGAATTAGCTTTGCTGATGGTCGAAAAGCTGTAGACCATTTGTGTTTTCTCGGTAGAAGGTGGTCTCTGACATATCGGGCAAACGTTCCGTCCGATATTTCGATCAAGGATAATACATTGTTAAAACTACAAAATAATATTATGTTGCTTTTGATTTACCTTTCAACCGTTTGAGTAAACATCAGGCGAAAAAATAGTTGTATCACTTCTGATCGTACCCTCTACAATTAAGGTTACTGGGTTAATGTTAATGAACGAAACACACCCTCTTTATAACATTGCGAACAAGGTGGACGCGACACAAGATATGGTGAGCATTGGGATACACCTGCATGATGATCACCAGTGCTGAAGAAAAAGTACGATAGACAGTTCTCATCGTCTAATTCGTATTCGCATAGCCCACCCAAAGATGTTATGTGCGCTTTCAATTTTCCGTAATCACCTATCGTTTACATTATAAATTGGCAAATGGCTTACCAGGAATGTTCGCCTGTGAGAACACTTTGTACCGCATATTATAGATATCTTGATCATTCAGTAGTTTCCCATAAGAATGGTAAGCAGAATTCTTAATGTGGAATGAAGCAGTACCAGATATTAGCAGCGATCGCACATTTTCAAACTGGGTATCTGTTAACCTGCGCACCCATGAATTACCTTGGTACCTCAGGGAATTGCACTCGTGATTGTGATGCACATTCCCACGTACAACAGTCCAGTAGCCATCGATAATCTTACAGTACATGAAGGTCGGACATTGAGTGTTCATGGAAGCCCTTCATGACAAAAAATGTTAATAACATTTATAAAATTACCTCCTCCGTCTGATCCGCTGTGACGAACCGCTAGATGTTATACGGCCATGTCTCCAGCACACAAATTTAATGTACGAGTTTTCATTTCTGCACAAATGCGAATCTCGAACTACATAATGACAGTAAGTTGATCTTTCATAATTGGTGATATCGGACTTCAACGCTTCAACCGATGGGAACGCAACGAGAAACAACGTTGTCAAAAAGACTTCCTCTATTTCTGTTACGTGAGAAACAACAGCGCTTGTACTAGGCACGTTACTATCCTCCATAATGATGATTAAAATGTACTTCGTCGACAAGTACTGATGTTTTATACCAATCCGACAAAACATAACTAACAAATTAAAAACGAACTACAAAACTAGCCATTTCATTGGACGAAACGGGATGAAAAATATTGCAATTTTGGGTTAAAAAAACATTTTTAAAAAGGGTGGGTGGGGGGGTTTTAAAAAAAAATGCCGTGGGGCTAATGAATTTCTTTGATTGCGATCGATTCGGCGAATTTTAAAATATTAGAGTTTGATTGCTTATTAATCGCCTTGAAAGACCTCAGTGTATCTACTTCATGTCCTGTGTCAAGGAGATGTCTTACAACGAAACTCCTGAATGCTTTTAATCTATTTGATCTTAAACATTTTGGAATATCTTCTTCAAATTGAACATAGGCTTTCCTTTCTATTCTATCCATGTAATTGCTTTAAGAGATACATGTTAATATATACACACAGTTTCTTTTTCTCTAAATAATATTATAGGCTTGCAAAAATTCTTGGCTGTGGATATCGATCATCAATGGATCAAATTAAATGTTTACGATCAAAATCAATTACAGAAATATTAGATGCACATGATACAATGTATGATCCAGCTAGTTATTTCTCTGTACCATTTCCACCTGTATTAGATAATAATTTTTTTCCATATGAAAATAGTCAATCATTTCGTCAATTAAAATATCTTAAACCATCAGGTGCTTTAATGTTTGGTATTAATAAAAATGAAGGTAGTTATTTTTTATTATATGCATTTGTATCTAATTCAAAATGGATGAAAAATTTAACTGATTTACCAATTACAAATCGTATGGATTATTTAAGATGTCTTCGACAAGTTCTAGATCTTGATGATGATGATCGACCAGAATTTACAGAACCATTAATACGTTATACAGATTTTGAATATCAAACATATCAACAATTGGTAAGTTATATTATCAATATGTAAAATGATTAGATTTTCATGAAATTTTGTTATCTGAACTGAATAATTTGGTCGAGGAACTTTCATCGTTCTTCTGAACGATGTCATCATGTTATTGTTTCCATCTGAACTACAAATCGTTTCCATCATCTCGTAAAATATTTTAATCAATTAAAGATTACTAGTTGAACTTTTTTTAAAATGTCATGTCAGTTCAACTAGATTTCAATTTCATTTCATTACTTATTTACACCTGTTACTTCCGTGTAGAAACAAAGCTCATCCACCAGAATTCTTCAACAAACGTTGTCCTGGAAAATCCTTTCCAGTTCTTTCTAGTTGCTACTCATCCCTTTGATGTCTACTTCCAATTCTCGACACAGTGCTATTTGGTCTTCTTTATTTCAGTCTTAGTAATTTATGGGATCCCCATCCTAAAATCGCTTTCCGTTCTTCTTTAAATAGCTTCCATGCAACTACTTATGGTTACAAAGCGTGTTCTTCTTCAATATCAGAGTACAACAGCTCCTAGCCCGAACTTAATCTTTTCTGTCTAGATTGGATCCGATGGATTTCACTGATTTTGAGCACCGTCAAATTGTATCGCTTCATTTCCATAACAATTTGATTGGCCCTCCTCGGTCTCCCACATTGTCTGTTTATTTTATGTACCTATATTAATCGTTGCTGTGGTTGTTAGAAGGTTCATCGGCCTTGTGAATACTGAAGGATTTCGGCTTTCACAATTAGGAGTCCTAACTCTTTTGCATGAAGATACTTATACACATAGGACATAATTTAAATGTTTCGAATGATTTTTTTCTGATCAGAGTTTTTTGACAAGGTTTCCTAAGTAATGTGTTTGCTAATCCTATGCCCGACCCTCCCCCTTTGTTTGTGTATGGGATGGGTAGTATCCTTTTGATGGCTCTGGTCAACCTCATAGTCAAGATAATTTTGTGTTCTTGAAATTCTAAATTTAAAAAATCACCTACGTTTATCCGAATTTCATTGTTATTTTGAGAAACCACAGTTGTTTCTATATCGCTTTGTTAAATATACAAGCTTTTTGGTGGAGTTTTGTTCTCTGAGCTGGATGGTTTGGTCGTGGAGCTTTCATCGTTCTTCTGAACGACATCATCAGCACAAACTTCAAATAGAAGTGAAGTGTTCGAATTTCTCCATATGTGTTTCACAGCTTGTTCTGTGCACCTCGATGTTGATTGGTTCTTGTTAACCTTAAACTTATCATTGTTTACTTCTTTGTTTTGGTTGTGTCTCCCATTGGTTTGATTTTTGTTCCTATATTTATGCATGATTTTCCTGATTGGTTGATAAATTGGATTGATTTCAATATGTTTGTTGATTGCTGATTGACCTGAGTTCCAGGCTTCTAAAAATTCTCTGGTGTTTTTGGAGTTTCCTCTATCTAAGATTTCTACATTTTCCCAATCCAATGAGTGTCCGTAGTTATCCACGTGTATTGATATAAGTGAAGAGATATCATGGCGTTTGACTGCTAATTGATGTTCATGTAAACGTAGGTGGAGGGGGCGTCCGCTTTGTCCGATATGAAAGCTCTACGACCAAACCATCCAGCTCAGAGAACAAAACTCCACCAATATCATCGACCTCAGCTACAAATCTTCTCCACCATACAAGCTTTTCGTTTCAACTGATGGAATAGCTCTGTGGTGCTATATTTACATCATTTTAAAATTATTACTACTATTTCACCATTCCGATTATGGATACAAATTTTTTATATCCTAACTGATAATCACAATTCGAAATGAAAAAATACAATGTCTTCATTAGATAGCATGATTCCGTTCTAAGAGTTAAGGCAAATAAATGGAAAACACCAGATTCCTTAATCGGATCAGTCAGACAAGACATAAAACCTGTTAATTATGCACATCAGTTCTATTTGTCATACCCCATCAGCACAGAAAGATGAAATAGTCAAAACAGATCCAAGAATTGTTGAATTAGTAACAGTGGAAAGACTAGGTCTAAAAGTTACAATTCGATAAGAAAATATAAATTAGTGAAATTAAAACACGAAAAAAAGAACATTTCGAGGGATTCATAGGCTCCGAATTTGAGAAAGGACAAAGATTGGATGCATCTGAGCCATTATAAACGATTATGAACGTCTATGAACCTTTGGTAAGCCATACATATGCAATAAAGAGCGGCCTGCTTGAGCATCTGGGCTACCTGTTCCTGCCATCTAGATATTTCAACAAGTTATCTATTTTTTGTTTGTTTTAATATATTATTATGTTTACCTATTCTGCTGCGTTTCTGAAAAGTGTACAACATTTCGTTGTCAAAGTTACAAAAAACTCAATAAGAGACAATGTGGTTGCTGAAAAAATATAGCGAAAAGAATGCACATTATTCAGATGTTCATTTACTGAACTGCTAGCATTTAACTGGCGATCACTCAATATTTATCGCCAGGACCGACCAAGAAGAAAGAAACGGAAACGTTTTCAAATACTTTACGCTGAGAATTCTATATTGTACCAAAAGTATAATATTGAATAAAGCTGATAATAATAATAATAATAATAATAATAATAATAATAATAATAATAATAATAATAATAATAATAATAATAATAATAAATGCGATCTACGAGGTCTTAAATCATTATAGTTAGAGTAATTAAACATTTTCTTCTCCAACAGCTCCCTGCGTATACTCGTGGTTCGTCTGTCTGTTTAGTCAATTATGTCTTCGTTATATCTATTAGCCTTGACTCACAATTGTTGTATAAAATGGACTTCATTCTAATAATATGGTTGGATGTGTGCATTAGTACAACAACTGAGCCTTTGACTGGTCATAATATCATTCACTCATTGTCAAGAAGTTACCCTGTAGCCACGCTGATTATCTTGTATAAAACAAAATGTTCTTTACTCCAAACAAAGATTGATAGGTACCCCTTTCATGTTGCCGCTAACTGTGTATACAAATTTACACGTACCTGTCAAACCAGTTACATTGATAGAACAGTAAGAAGGGCCCATGTTTGATTTCAATAACATATCCCAAAAAAGTCTCAGGTCACTGGAATTTAGGGCTCTTAAACAGTGATATTACAAAATATCTCTGTACTTAGGATATCTGGTTGACAGACTGAAATCTTTCAGCACAACCAATCGACATTCGAATTCTGTTCTCCTTAAATTCTCCGAAACCATATCCGTCAAACGAATTAAGTTGAACTTATAAATCCAAAAAGAAACAGCTACAAATCTTTCCGTACCATAAAGACTTCCTCGTCGGTTTATTACATTGGTTTTGTAATCCTCTTCTGTTCTCACTCTCTATATTTTATTTCAACTTCATCACTTCCTTTGAAGTCATTACTTTATTTATTTTTAAACTAATTGATCTCAACTCATGTTATTCTTAATTTTAATAGTTGAGATCATGAGTCATTTGAAGTTAAATTACCATGGAAAACCTGGAAGCATTGGACAGGCATTTTGTTCTGTTGTGGGACTCCTCAGCAATGCGCATCTAGGATCCCATCTTGCCAGATTTGAACCTAGGACCTATCGGTCTCGCGTGCGAAGTCTTAGCTGCTAGACGACTGAGCTGGCATTCAGCGGTGTTACTGTCTAACTTCAATCAATCCACGAAATTGAACTCCCGTTGACTCATGAACTCAACTATTAAATTACTATAATATGAACAGAAATAAGACTTTTCTGAAAATAATAAGTAGGCGATATTTCATTCGTTTGATTTATAAGATCAAGTAAACAGTCTAATGTGTTCACTGTTTATAACTTTCAGTGTTAGATTAAAGTTATGTAGCTTACGGAGTTGAAGCAGTCTACTTCTAACCTTGAACTGGTACGTTTGAATTTCTTTAATCTTTATTTGTTTTGGACACTAGCATAGTTTTATCAACTCTCATTTGAATGGATTGGATCAAAGTCCATTACATTATTCTTTGTTGAGAATTCAAACGACATTTATAGCAATTCCACTCATTTTGTTCTTCATTGGCTGAAGTTAGACATTAGGATCATTTGATGCCGGCTTAGTGGTTTAGAGGTTAAGCTTTCGCATGCGAGACCGATAAGTCCTGGGTTCGAATCTGGACGGGCGGGATCGTGGATGAGCACTGCTGAGGAGTCCCACACTAGAACGAAACGGCCATCCAATGCTTCCAGGTTTTCCTTGGTGGAATAACTTCAATTGACTCATGAATTCAACTATAAAATTACTAAGATCTCCACAAAAACATCCTTCTGATGATAATAAATATATGGTTTTGATTGTGAGGCAGTAAAAGCATGAGACTGATTTAAATTGAGAAGATCTGTTTAATTTTATTTCATAATTTATTTTCCTGATAGCCTACACTTGAAAGTTGGACTGAAAGACTAGAAGAAATCAGTAGTGATAGAAGTTTCAAATGTCCTACGATCAATATGGCAACTGCTGTAACTAATGATTATCGTATACCAGGTCGACGTCGTGCTCATACGCTTCCTGTATATTTTTATGAATTTCAACACAGAACACTTTCATTACCAATGCCTAAATGGACTGGTACGATGCATGGTTATGAAATTGAATATGTTTTTGGTATTCCATTTAGTCCTCAGTTTCAGGCTAGCTTTTATCGGTTCACAGATGAAGAACGTCAACTCAGTGATATTATGATGACGTATTGGGCTAACTTTGCACGCACAGGGTAAGTTGATTCGAAGAACTATGTTTGCTTGTGGAAAAAGTTCAGAACTTAATTTTATTTGACAAAAATTTACTTTGATTAACATATACAATATGTGGTGGTGGTGGTGGTCGAAGGTAGTTGACAGGTAACCTTGGACTTAGGTTTTGTGTTATTTAGAACTCATTTCAGCAAGGCATACATGTTATCTTGAGGGAACTGATACTTCTTGATGGATTCAATCCCGTGTCACTCAGCTTTACAACATAGAGCACGCGATGTCACGCCATCTAGACTAGTGGCTACGTTGCAATTTGACCAACAGAATTCGACCTACACTAAGAAAGACATAACACACATAACGTTGGTCACTACCCAGGGATCAATCAATTGAAAAGATGTGCGCTCTTGATACATGAAGTTTTTTAATTTTAGCCCTCCAGAAATCTTCATGTTACACGTATTTCCTGACTATACTACCATTTCTATTTCTTGGATATATTTTGAGGATCATTTTCGCTTAAAAAACTGTCAACTTGTATATGCTACCACAATGAATGACTAGTTTGAATACAAATATCTAAGTAGAGTATTTGCTTAAACTATTGTAAAATCAGAAGTAAATAACCATATTGTTTCACCATACACTATATCATAATTGCAATACTCACATCCGGTAAGATCATTTCTGTAAAGATTTGGTTAACTAATATTTTAGCTAAAATCTGAAAACCGGAAGTAACCCCATCTGATTCGTCGCAATCATTAATTGTCCCAATATATAAGAAGGGGTCAAAATCATCCTGTCACAACCATAGAGGGATTATATTAACTAAAATAGCATCTAAAACTATGGCCTCAATAATGATCGTACACCTAATAAAGACTCATGAACTGCAAACACGAGAAAATCAGGCTGGCATCAAACGTGGTCGTGGCTGCATCGACCGCATATTCACCATTTGTCAGATCTTAGAACACAGGCATACTTATCGGCGTCCGACAATGATAGTTTTTCTTGACTTAAGAGCGGCATTTGGCTCTGTTAACCGATAGGTTTTTTAGTAGTGTCTATCATTCAAAGGTGTACATAAATCTTATATAGGCTCTTCACTCGAACAGTACCAGTCGAGTCAGAGTTTATGGCGAAAGGTCATCTGATTTCGTAACCTCAAGTGCTGTTCGGCTAGGCTGTTCACTATCTCCAATTTTAACTTCATCATAGGCCTATTGCTGAAAATAGTGCTCTCGTCGACTGAATTTTCGGGCAGCCTGATCAGCCCTAATGGGTTGGTGTCTGACAAAATCTCAGCGCGGATTCAGAAAGCTTGTTTGGCTCTTACAAACTTACGTCACCTATGGCAAAGATGCGATATCCATCTATCAATTAAGGGACGATTATACTGCGCGGAAGTTCGTTTTGTTCTTCTTTCCAGATGCGAAACGAGGTCAGACTCAGAGTTGAGGTTGTAAATCTTCATCGACTGAGATGGTTGGGCCACGTGTTACGTATGCCTGAACACCGATTACCACGACGTGCAATGCTGACTAGTGTCGGAAATGGTTGGAAGAAAGTTAGAGGCGGCCAAACCAAAACGTGGCATCAGTACTTGAGGACACTAACTTCTAGTCCGAGCCATGTTGGTAGATGCAGACTACTTGGTTGGGGTCAACGTGACTATCATAACCAATGGTCGGAGACCCTGTGTGACATGGCTCAGAATCAATTACAATGGCGTCGGTGTATACAATCTTTTGTCCCCTTAATCCGCGAGATTAAAATCACCATTTACCTTTATGTTTACGAACTAGTTCTTTTTCCACGTATCATATCCTTATACTTAATCTTTCTTTTATTTTTTACCACAACTGAAGTAATTACTTCTATGAATTTGTTGTTCTCCTTGCTGTGCTAATGTGGTATAGCAACTCTGACCAATTCATACATATTTCTTGTCCCACGTAGTAGCTGACGCTCATTTTTGTAAATCTACATCCTCACTTGATGTAATTTAATAGTTAACCCATATTAGTTTCTATTCTATTTCGAAAGCAATAGTTTTGTTGCAGTTTCATAAAAGGACCTCAGATTATCGGATTTCAATATTTGGTATTGAATTTTTGTTTAAAGGGATCCTAATATTTTACCAGATGGTCGACACGTGACTGATAATGTAAATCCAGAAGATCCAGATGAAATAACTGGAAGTGAGTTAGAAGGTTCATTGAATCATAAACAAGGGCGTAAAAATCCATTCATTGGATGGCCTGAATTTCGAAATAGTACAAAAGCCTACATCGTTTTTCGTTCAGCTCCGGCAAACCTCCTTGTTAGCACAAGACCACGTCACCGTCAATGCTTGTTTTGGCGTCGTTGGTATCCGGCGTTACTACAACAAGGTGGTTTGATTATTAAAGTATTCTATTTATCTCTACAGTGCTATTTAATTGTTCTTAAAATATTCGAGTCTTAAAATATCAGTATTACATAGAATTTAGTCGGAAACTATGCTGAAGACATATTAGTATAGTATAACAAGGGTGTAAATAAATTTAATTGACTGAATATTGTAAATATAGAGCTTATGCGAAAGAACATTCCACAACATCGATTGTGATAAGAGTTAAAACGGTCAGAAACAAGTGATTACATAATGAGTAAACATTGAGATGTATAAAATGAGTAGAGCTCAGTTAATAAAATAAGTTTACTTACTTACTTACTCATGCTACTACCAATGGAGCATAGGAATCTGGAAAATAGTTGAAATAAAACTCAATGGTGCAATAAATGCAAGAAAGAGTTAAAGAAATAAGTTTAATATTCAACGACGGAATATTTGTCACCAAGGCAAGGAAGGATTAATAACCGTCTCCTTATGAACACATAAATCAGGTTTTTGATGACTGATAGTAACGGCTTCAGCAAAACTTCAGAAGACTGGAGTTTGGTGGTTTATTAACTACCATGAAAGACTGCAAGGTATCGACCTGATATCCTATATCGAAGAGATGTTTGGTGATTGCACTGTTTAGAGTCTTTCCTTCTTTTGTTATGGGGCTTTTTGTGATATGCTCAAAGAATTTAAAATATGCTCTTCTTTCTGCTTGGTCAATGTAGCTTCTTTGGCAGGCACATGTTAATTTATAAACACAGTCGGCGGTAATATGAAAGAGGCGCTTGTCGACCTTTGATTGGGTTAGTGAACATATTGTTTTATACAGAATTAATAGTTCGGCTGCGGGATAAGTTCTGGCTAGTGCAGTGTTCAGTTTCCTGCTGATTGTGTTTACGACATTATCACCTTTGAAGTTGAGATTTACAGATATGGGTTTTTATTGACCATAACCACTTCCGTCCTATTTTCTTTAGGTTTTTATATTCATCATTACGTTTATGTGGGTAGCAGTTGTTTCTTAGACATTTTTCAACATTGATCAATTCTTTCAGTTTGTCGGTGGTACATATGCTTTTTGCCCATAAGATAGTGTTTTGATCAGTGTCTTCTTGTAACTGACTGAACAAAAACAATTGAAATCCAGATACTTTTCTGACCAACCAACCGTTGAACTGTCTCGTCTCCCCTACGTTTTATGGCAATAACAAGAAAGTGGAACATGTCATTCTATTTGTGTTCCATAATATATTGTGTATGAGGATTAGTATTATTGAGGAGTTCTAACAGGTGGATTGCGTGCTGTCTACTGTTGCAGACAATAGACGTGTCATCAACACATCTAGATTATCCAGTCATTTTACAAATCGCTTGTTTAAGGGCCGTTTTTTCAAGATACTTAAAAAAATATCTGCCTTGATTAGACTAAAAAGACTTCTCATTGCTACACCATCGATTTGATAGTCTATGGTGTTATTAAACTGGAATTGAATTCCTTTTATGTACAAAATATTGGTAACGTTTTCAGATCTGGGACTGGTCAATTTGGGGATTAGAGTTCTAACTAATTATATCAATACTCCACTTGATATTGTTTTATTTGAATCTTCCCATTGATGTTTTAGGACTGAAGTTGATCAGTCTCTTATTGGCATATGTACATACTGTGCGTATGCCTCGATATTGCAGGTACATCCAGCTGACGAGCCCCAAACAGGACGAAACGCGCGTCCTGGATTCCACTGCTAGCCACTATCCATCTCTGCTTATAATTATATCAATAGTTTCAAAAATTAGTATCCTAGTGAACAATGTTATTACATCAAGAGAAACCATGAACTTAGCGGCAACATTCGTATGATTTAGTCTGTCAGAAATTTGAAATGAATCTCTTAACGCATACGTTGCTAATGTATAACCGACAGGCTCTAGCCTCTCTCCAGTCAGAATGCAACTTTGTGGTACGGTGAATCGTTCATTGATGGGATAGGTCAGAAGGGAACGTCATGTTTGTGAACTTTTGGTAAGCCATACTTATGAGGTAGGAGTGAGCCGCGTGGTCTTAGATCATTGTAAGTAGAATTAGTAATCATTTTCCTTTTCAGAAACTCTCTAAATATGCCTGTTAGTGATTTTTCTGTTGAATCAATTAATACTTTGTTAGATTTATCTACCTTGAATCTCAGTTGCTCGTCTAGGATTGACTTCATTTTAGTTATATAATCAGCTATGTGCACTAGAACGGCACATGAACCTTCTTCCGGTCGTAAGACCTCTTTATTTTGTTTAATGTTTTTTTAAGGTTGTCAGATATTCTTTGGATAAAATATTCGACTTTAGTGTCGCTTCGATATGTGGTTTAAAACTTATTGTCGTATAGCAAAACTAAAATACAGTCAGTATTAATACTTTTAAAATGTCTTTCATCATATTGATATTGTTCTCTCAACAATGAACTCAACGATGTAAATAAATTTCTGTTAATTATCAACAGCAAACAACTAAATAGAAGGCTGCTGAAGATACTAATAAAGATTAAAGAATTTAGCATCTGTAATACACTCCAAAGTATTTGTTCAAAGAGAAGTTATGATTCTCCATAAAGAATTTTTAACATTATGAATATTGAGGTGAAATAGTTTGTTGAAGGAAATTTCAACACTAAGTTATTTAACCACATTGTTGGGATCTCACGAGAATTTCTCTATACAATCCTCAGAAACCAGGCATTGGTTGAGAAAATCTAGCGCAGTCGATATATTTCATGGAGTATCCTTGAAAATTGATAGATTAGGTGTCGAATTCTGATTGAATGATTATAAATTCCATTAATTAACTTATCATGTCTTCAGAAGCTTCCATAGCCTAACGATTATTAAGAAACGTACAAGTAAGCTAGTTTTGCTATACGCAAATGAATCTTAGAGTGAGACATTTACTCCTATCATGTGCCTATTCCCTTTCACCGAGTTGAAGTATAAAAGTAGTCTGTGCTTATAAGAAGCGGTTAAGAACTCAGTATTCAAGTAGAAGAATTATCACGGATTTTCATAAACTTTGGAAAATATTTATATTAGAATCTTGTCACTATAAAATGATTACCTATTACCTGAGTTACATTTTATGAAATACGAAACAATGTGAAAAGTGTAGTTATTTTAATGAGATTCAGACTTTCTACTAACTCAAGATAAAATCTTAAATAGTAGTTGTTACTGTAGTTTTTTTAAAGTTACATTCTGTAAGCCAAATGGTTTAATTGTGAAGTTCTCATTGTTTTTCTAAACAACATCATTAGTACCAATTTCAGGTAGAAGTGAAGTATTAAAATTTGTCGATATATTAATTTTAGTAGTTGGATTCATGCGTCGTTTGAAGCTAGATCATCATGGAAAAACTGGATTCGAATCTCGTGAGACAGGATCGTGGATGCGCATTACTGAGGAGTTCCGTACTAGGATGAAATGGTCGTCAGTGCTTCCAGTTTTTCCATGGTGGTGTATCTTCAATTAACTCATGAGCTCAACTATAGAAATTGCTATGATATGCACAAATCTCCTCTCTTATTATCTACATATGATAAACAATTCAATCTGCCAATCTTGTTTTTGATTGGTTGTTGTTGACCTTTGACTTGTCATTGCTTGGATATTTATTTGTTCAGTTTCAAATTATTCACAGAATATTTTGAGTTTAAAATTGTTTTCAATACCTTTATCATCAGGTTCTGTATCACTGAGTTCACAATTATTGTGCAAACTACGAAATTTAACAAACTGCATTTAACTATTTATACAGACCATTGTAGCGAATGGATAAACATTTACCTGAAGTGATATTAATACATCATATTCTGAACACCAATCATTCGAAACTGTAGTACGTAGTATTTTATGATAATAACAACATCAACTGAGTGATATAACATTGTATATCATCTACCTGGATTCCCATGCGGTCAAACCACACTACTAAATTGTTAATTTCATATATTAAAGATTCTAGACGTTATTCAATTTCCATGAGGACAAGTAAGACGATAAATTACTCAGTTTTTGTGTCAATACCTCTACAGTACTATGAATGGCTAGGATTAACATAGTCCATCTGATTGTTTAATTTCGCTAATGGAAGCTAATGATAACCTATACATTGTTTATCAATATAATATCCATTCACATTATTTTTTTTTCTGTCATTAATTTTCAGTTGAGCGCAATCGCCAGCATTGTTTAGGTGTGTAAAATTCAATACACTGGTGAACTACTAACTACAGGTATCATCTAATATCAACGGAAATGAAAATGAATAACAGTCAACAATTGTTTCATAAGAATATTAAATATAATAATTGATTAGTATATCATAAAATAAGTGTGTGTTTTTGTACTTATACTGCTCAGGTAAATGATCAAACTTGCCTAAACAAATGTTACTTACTTATGCGTGTTACTCCTCATAGAGAAGCATAGGCCGCCTACGAGCACTCTTCATCCAACCCTTCCTTGGGCTATCCTTTCCAGTTGTTACTCATCTTTTTCATATCTGCTTCTATTTCCCGACGTAATGTGTTCTTTGGCCTTCCTCTTTTTTGCTTCCCCTCAGGATTCTAAAATCGGGCTTGCCTTGTGGTGCAGTTTGGTTATTTCCGTAATGCATGTCCTATCCACCAACTTCATCGTCTTTTCCTAATTTGGTTTGTCCTTTCCCAAATAAGGCTGTTGCTGATTGTATCCGGCCAAAGGATGTTGAGTATCTTGCATAGACAACTATTTATAAATATTGTGTTCAATCTGAAGTTTATTATATTTAGTTGATAATTGTCCATTATCTTAATTATACGAGTAGGATAGTTTCAAAATTGTATGAATTAGACTCTGTGCTTAAGGTTAAATAAATAAGAAAATTATTATTAAAAGAAATTAGTGACCTAAGTAGTTTCCTAAATCCTCCCAAAGCTCCTCTTGGGTTACTGCCGCTTCCAAGCCTGGATAAAAAGTAGGGTTGAGCATGTGGTTAGCGACCCCATCCCGTAGAAATTTAACTCGCTAAAAATACGCTAACCAGAAAAAAATAATTCAACAAGTATCAGAAGGGGTTTTGTGGAGATTGTAGTAATTTCAACAGCTAGACCATGGTCAAGATTCAATAAGTATTTCCCAGGTATTTCTGTTGATTTTATCCGTTACTGTGGTGTTTGTGAAAATTGGTGAAATTAGGCAGTAAAATCAATTTATACCTTCAAACTTTAGTTTTGACGGCAGTAATAACTGTTTAAACATTTTTTACGGCAAACTACTGAATTAAACAATAGAATAATGATGCCATCAGAGACATGATTTCTTGATCAATAACAGCTGGAATCTAGTGTTTATATCGATGTTTATTGTTATGAAGGTTTCCATACAGCTTAATTTGAAATGTATCAGTTTTAGTAGCTAAACATCCTTAAAATATGGTGATGGAAACAAATTAGTTGTTGACCTGATCATCAGAGTAATGACAAAGTCGACGGATTACATGGAGTCTTAGATAAAGATAATTGTGATTTAATCACATATGACACTGGCTACGAAGTTAAAAATTAATAATACACTCTCTCAATATCTTATTTTGGAGAAGCAATCTATATAGCATCCAATGAAAAGGGCGGTTACTAAACGGAGGAATGAGACGGCTAGCGATTATGCAAGGGGAAAATCAATAAAGATAACCATCAAAAATGTGCATATTTCTGGGGGCGAACATCAAAAGACAATGTAGCAGTAAATAAATCCCCAAAATAAATAGCTCTGTAAGTCTTTGATATTGGATAACAGTTGACGCTCGTTTCAAAAAGGGCAGTGATTTTTGTACTTGTTGTGATTATACTTGCTTTGGGTACTTATTGCACCAAAAAGCATTCTTGGTCTACTTTAATTTATAGTACTTTGGTTAAAGTTTGATATTTTTTGCTTAATTTTGTCCTGAGTACCTTTTTTTGCTCGTGACTAACACTTGTGTTCACATTGGGATCATTTTGTGTTTTCTAAACCTTTTAAATCGAATTACAATGGTTGGTAAGACTCACAAATGTGGGCAACCAAATTGTTTGTTTTTCCGTGGAGGAGGGAATTCAATGTGAATATTGTAAAACGTGGTACCACAAAATGTGTACACGCCTAAGTCCGACGGCTTACAAAAGATGCTCGAAGCCTAACTCGCATTGGCTTTGTATGTTCTGGTGTACGAATGAAAAGGTACTAATTCAGGAGGCTATGGGCCTATTGGCTTTGGCCTGCAAGAAAAACGATGGCGAAAGCGATGATAACAAGAGCACTGACGGATAAGAATGTGTCAGTGTAGTAAGTGCTGCTACCGGACCCGTTAAACACTTGACTGTGGTTGACGGGAACGTGAAATCTCCGTTGACATTAACGAGGAATGAAGTGCCGCTTGATATTGACATCGGCGATCATACACCTCTGGTCAAAATAGAAGATCCGGATAAAACTGTCACCGTTCCACGTAGTTTAGGTGTGGCTGTCCTGAGTGGTGACAAATGGACTTCAGTAAGGAGAAAAAGAAATGGGAAGAAAAAGACTGTTGGCAAAACGCAGCTGGTTAGCAAGGCAATGGAAGGGATGTTATCAAAAGAAAAATCCTCACTGCGTGACAAGACAGATCTCTCTGAGAGATCAGTCATTTTTCAAATAAAGAACCAAAGGCGAGATTTGAACACGATCTCAATCATATTAAGACATCATTAAGTTAACTACTCCCAGATACAGTTTCAGGAGTCAGTATTTGTAAGCTTTATAGAACAGGAAAAAAGGTGAATTCCGAAAGGCCTCCGAAAAACCACCTACTGAAGGTTACCTTCAACACGGTGGAAGAAAGGAACCTGATTCTAAGTAATTCACGTAAACTGATAGGATCCGGAATATATGTCCGTGAGGATGTCAGCCTAGCAGATCGTATTAAGAGACAAGCTGCAGAAGCGGAAATAAATGAACATCGCCAAAACGGTGAAATAAACCTCGTTCTTAAGGGTTTTCAGGTTGTAAAAGTTTGGAGCAAAACGATCCTCAAGCCACTCTGGGTGGTATGGGAAAGCTCTCCACAGACTTAACGGTATGCTACACAAATGCTTGCAGCCTACTAAAGAAAATGGTGAAGCTCAAGTCAGTGGTGGATAAAGAAAAACCGGACGTTATTTCTGTCTCGGAAAGTTGGTTAACGTCAGAAGTATTAGATAGTGAAATCCTGTTGACTGGTTTCATAACCCGTAGGGCTGATAGATTAAACCGTAGGGGAGGCGGAGTTATTCTGTACACGAAAAGTACCCTAATCATAAGATAAGCTGAGACACTATCACATGTTTCACGGGCATGTGAACTGATGAGATGTAAGTTGAAATGCCGACGGCAAGATAATAAATTAGTTGTAGTATATCGCAGTCCAGAATTTGTAGCAGATGATTTTATCCTAAGTAAACTTAAGTCCTGGTGTAACAACGGTAAAAGTCTTGTAGTAGGCAACTTTAATGCACCACATATAAACTGGGTTAATTTAGAAGTAGGGTCATCCAAGTCGTCGTTCGACTGCAAACTGCTAGAAACCTCGATTGGATTAGCATTATTCCAACACATTAGAGATCCCACAAGATACGACTTAAGAAACTCTTCCTCTCTTTTAGATTTAGTTTTCACACACGGTAATGACGTTGGTCAAATGGCTTTTCTCTCACCACTTGGGAGAAGTGACCATGCAGTCATCTTATTCAAATTTATGGCTGAGATTGCATGTCAAACAGTTCCATCGGCCCGTCCCAACATATGGAAGGCAGATATGCAGGCAATTAACTCCGCAGCATCGGCTGAAATGCATTCCAAGTAAGGACCGGAGTCAGACAAGGCTGTTTACTCTCTCCTTTCCTCTTTCTTCTGGTGGTCGACTGGATTATGAAGACCTCGACATCTGAAGGAAAACACGGAATTCAATGGACAGCTCGAAATCCATTAGACGATTTGGACTTCGCAGATCACCTAGCCCTCCTATCACGTACACATGAACAGATGCAGATGAAGACAGCCAGTGTAGCAGCAGTCTCTGCATCAGTAGGCCTCAGCATACACAAAGGGAAAACCAAAGTCCTCAAATTCAAAGCGGAAAACAACAACCCAATCACTCTTGATGGCGAAACTCTGGAAAATGTAGAATTCTTCACATACCTGGGAAGCATCATCGATGAACAAAGAGGTTCAGATGCAGACGTAAAGGCAAGGATTGGCAAAGCAAGGACAGCATTCCTACAGTTAAAGAACATATGGAACTCAAAACAACTTTCAACCAATATCAAAGTGAGAATCTTCAATACCAACGTCAAGGCAGTTCTACTGTATGGAGCTGAAACTTGGAGAACTACAACAACAACCATCAAGAAGGTACAAGTATTTATAAATAGTTGTCTACGCAAGATACTCAACATCCATTGGCCGGATACCATCAGCAATAGCCTTCTGTGGGAGAGAACAAACCAACTTCCAGCTGAAGAAGAAATTAGGAAAAGACGATGGAAATGGATAGGACATACTTTACGCAAATCTTCAAACTGCATCACGAGACAAGCCCTAACTTGGAATCCTGAAGGGAAGCGAAAAAGAGGAAGGCCAAAGAACACATTGCGTCGGATAATAGAAGCAGATATGAAAACGATGAATTACAACTGGACGCAGCTAGAAAGGATTGCCCAGGACAGGGTTGGATGGAGAATGCTGGTGAGCGGCCTATGCTCCTTCACGAGGAGTAACAGGCGTAAGTAAGTAAGCATCGGCTGAAAACTGGGAATTTGACTCAAAGGTATCAACACAAGAGGCATGAACTCTATACAATCGGGTAACTCAACTATACATACCCTGGACTGTCCTCCCAAAAAAGAAGCCCCGACATCCCTGGATAGGGTGGGATATTCGACGTTTCCTGAGAAAAAAGAAGAAATGCTAGGACGTTGCCATCCGCCTTGGCAAAGCAGGTACGATGAAACGCCACAGATAGATAAAAAACGAGTGTATAATTAAAATTCGAGAAGCTCAGAGGAAATATGTGATGCGATTGGCACAATCTGAACTCAAGCAGCCTAACAGAATATTGTCGTGCATAAATTACAGAACAAGGGTGCATTGTTGGATCGCCAACCTAATTAAAGCAGGAAGTGAATCTGAAATGATAGAAAATCAGGAAAAAGCAGAGGCTATGGCTGACTATTTTGGTGCAGTTTTCAGTCAAAAACATCCTCTAGAAAAAGAACCAAACTCAAATACAGAGTCAACAAACCAGATGCTCACCGTGGACTTCGACCAAAACGATGTGCTTAAGGCTCTTAGCACCCTAAACATGGAGAAGTCAACAGGACCAGATGAACTACACCCCAAAATCTCGAGACATATTGCTCAATATATCGCGGGCCAACTAACTGTGATATTCAACAAGGAGTGCTACCTATGGACTGGAAGGATGCGATCGTCACTCCCATACATAAAACAGGTCCACGACAAGTTCGATCGAATTACAGACCTGTAAGTCTCACCAGTGTTGTTGTTAAAGTAATGAAAAGAATAGTTAAACGGACCATAATGGCTTTTATGGAAACCAATAAATTGCTAAACATGGAACAACATGGTTTAAGAAAGGGTTTATCTTGTACAACAAGCCTCCTTATAGCAAGGGAATTTCAGATAAAGGCACTAGACAACGGAAACTCAGTGGATGTTGTCTACATCGATTTCAGTAAGGCTTTTGACAAAGTGCCAACTAATGGACTGCTATTGAAAATATTGATATTGCTTAAGGATGTCCTAGTAGGTCTTAGACAGAAAGTAATTAAGTGCTCCATCTGGAGAGTAACAACCGGAGATGCAGATGCATGCGCTCTTCAGGCTGACTCTGGGGGATACAAAGGTTATTAGGTACAACATAGGGGAAGTGCCTATACCCGTGATCTTGTTTCACAAGGATCTTGAGGTGACAGTGAGTCATGACCTTAAGACGATGGCCCATTGTCGAGAGGTCTCAGCTAGGGGGTCCAGAAGCCTCTGGGCTTAAAGAGACACTCATATAGTTGGAAACTACCAGTCTTCAGTCTTCAGTTATAGGGATAGTAGGTTGGTGAACATGTATTAATCCTGACACATTGCTTTCCATTGAAGGTCCAGATTCTCCTTGAAAGTATTCACTGATGGGCCTGATACCACTTGTTCGGGTAAGGCGTTCCAATCATTGACTACTCGATGAGAAAAACGGGACCCCACTTTAAGTTTATTAGATCGTGGTTTATAACCCTTCTTGTTATGACCTCGGAGATTATTAGTGCTGGAGGGAGCAAAAAGATAAGACATATTAACACCCAAATCATAATTAAAGATACGAAATACCAGTATAAGGTCACCTCGTGTCCTACGATACGACAAAGGGAAAAGATTTAGGCGTTTTAAACGCTCACCGTAAGGGAGTCTAGAAAGAACCTTCACTAATTTCGTTCCTACACGCTGGGCAGGCCCAAGGGATTTAGTATCCTTTGCCAGACACGGGCTAGCTGCTTGGATACAGTACTCTAAATGTGGTCAAACATATATGGGATATAAAGTTCGAAACGTTTCCTCGTCAAAAGATTTGAACGCTCGGCGAAGTGACCATAGCGCACGAAAACCTTTGGCAGCGGCTGCTTTGCAATGCTTAGTTGTTTTTAAATCATGACATAATACTACTTCTTAGTCTTTATGCTTTTGAACGCAAGGAATCGGTTTACCCTCAATAGTGTAACGGTAACTATTACCATGACCGATGTGCATTAGTACACTCTTCCTAGCATTGATTTCTAAGCCCCACTCTCGAGCCCATCTAACTAAACCGTCCAAGTCAGCTTGAAGATCCAGATGATCAGCCGCACTTTTTCTTGTTCTCCAGATTTTTACATCATCCGCAAACAATAATGTGGACGACCTAAGTAACAGCGGTAACTATAAATAAAAATAAGGAAGTGAATGAATACTGTTTTGGCATATGCTTGGTTGTTTGGGGTCAACTCTTAACCGACCAACCTAAGCTGTTACAAACTCATTAACGTAGAGAAGGAAGAGAAGAGGGCCTAAGATGGTGCCTTGGGGTACATCATTTATGACCGGCCTCCAATCGGATAGCGTTCCATTGACCCTCACTCTTTGTCTGCGGTCACATAAGAAATTTCCTATCCACTCCCGTACAGTACATATTATTCCGAAGCTCGTGAGCTTCTGCATGAGACCTACGTGTGAAACCTTGTCAAAGGCTTTGCTAAAATCAAGGAATATCACATCGACAGACAGACCGTTATCTAGGGCTGTTGTCCAATCCTCCCTCACAATAAGCAAGTTAGTCAAGCATGAACGCTTGTTACGAAATCCGTGTTGCTCAGGAGCTAACAGATTGTGTAAATCTATGTGGCTTAGCAACCTAACCCGAATTATCTTTTCAAGTAACTTAACGACTATGCTAGTTAGACTGACAGGCCGGTAGTTAGATACTATCTGTCGCTGACCGTCCTTAAATATAGGACTGACTGTAGCGTCTTTCCAATCTCTAGGGAGTTGAGCGAGTGAAAGGGACATGTTGAAGACTGTCGCGAGCGGTTTTGAAATAATGTCCGCAAGAGATGACAGCAACCGTGGATGTAGTCCATCAGGGCCTGGTATCTTACAAGGTTTGAGGTTAGTTATCAACGGAAGGACAGTTTCCTCAGTCAGCTGTTCATATTCAATGGTTGGTATCTCGGTGTGAGTGGGACAAGTATTTGTTACAATAAACGTGGAGAAGACTTCGCTAAAATAGTCTGAAGAAGTCTCAACATTTGCTCGATCTGATTCAGCTAGTAATTCTGAATTTTCGTGTAACAGTAACGGGGGAATACCATCACTACGTTTCATTCGCCGTTTAACATACGAAACCAATCGTTTCGGACAAGTACGGCTATCATATAGTAACTGTCGTTCGTAAGTGGTAGGAGATTTGTCTATGGTTTTCTTACAGATATTCCGGAATTTTTGGTACTCGCGCTTAAATGGTTCATGACCTGTCGACAAGAATAAGTCCCAGAAATGTTTCCTACGCTGTAACAGCTTCCGGGTTCCCTTATTAATCCATAGAGGGCAATGTGATAGCTTACGTTCTGATCATGGGATGAACGGCGACGTTACAACATGCGACCTCACACGTGCCACTGATATGAGCCTCCGATATGGTTGATTGTATACGAAAGTGATCTCTAACGTATAACATTATACCTCCTCCCTTGCGACTTGAAACTCTATCACTTCTAATAGAGATATAACCTGCAATGAGGGAAGAACAGTCTATATCTACTAAGAACCAAGTTTCTGTGACAACGATTATGTTGGGACATAATTCTTTCACCATCAGAATTAGCTCGGACGTTTTATTTCTAAGACTACGAGCGTTCGTGTAGCACACACTTAAGGTGTTTTGGCAATCAATCGTTCTACCCATACAGGCCTCGGAAGCATTGACTTCAAACACCTGACTACCCGAAAACCCTTAATGGTTAGGTTATTTTCGCCATTAAATTTGCGAATCCTCAACTCCGTAAGAGCATTCTTCCACTTGATTCGATCCTCAAGTGGCCAATCTGGTCGAATACGGATATTTGAATCACGAGTTTTTAGTGCGCTTTTCAATAATATGTCTCTTTCATCAATACTCCCGAGAACCAGCTTCAAGGTTTTTTCTTGGTTGGGTCTCGCCTCCAACCCATTTACCAAGTCGTATTACTTTTGCAATATGTACTCCTGAAACCTCTTCAGGTAGTACATTCCTTACCACAGACTCCACTAACTGCAGGTCATGTGCATGTCTTCTAGCAGGGTCGTTGTCTTTCGACTCCTCTAGATTCCAAATAATTAAACTAGGGAGGGGTTTGGCTTCTTTTGAAACTGTGTTCACAGCTTTTGACCGTGACGTTAGATCCTGTATTTTAACTACTGGTATCTTACGATTAGTTTTTATTTTAACAGAGTCCTGTGAGTCGAGCGAGTGACTCACAATGTTAGACGAAGCTTTACTATGGGACTTTGGTGGAGTGGTCTGAGAATACACCAAGGACTTATCAAGTAAACGGTCATTAGTTTTAGCTGTCTTTCCTATTCTTCTACGTTTCCGTGTCATCCATATTCCATCAGTCGTAGCATCCACATTAGACCCACTCGGGACTGTAATTGTTTTATCTGGGTCACCGGTTGCTGCTGTAGCAATAGCGGATTGCACAGTTGGATGTCTGGCTTGCGCCGTGACAACATTTACGACATCTTCGCCATCAGTACCAATGTTGCCAGTACAGCCCTCATCAACTTTCTTATTAGCCAACACTAGGAGACTAATTGCTTCCTGGATAAGCAATGTTTTGCTCGAGCAACAAAAACTACAAAGCCAATGAGAGTTGGGCCTTGAGCACCTTTTATATGCAGTGGGGCTTAATCGGGTGCACATCTTATGGAACCACTTATTACGCTCATCACATTGCATCCCTTCCTCCATGGGAAATAAGCAATATGGTTGTCCACATTTATGAGCAGATCTAGCCATCTTGAAAATCAACTAGAACGGTGACAAAACAGGATATGTAAAAAGATTCTCAAACCTTAACTAAATAAATCAAGTAAAAGTTGACCAAGAATGCTTCGATGCAATAAATACACAAAAGCAAAACCGAAACACTCAATATACTATAAATTTAACTGGGGTGATGCAGTTAAAGTGTAAACAGTAGTTCTGATGCGTAATTTACGATCAAAACAGTTAATTAACTCAACGAGAAATAATACCACTGTCCTTTTAAATAGAGCGCGCGTAATGTTCATTACAGCATTCACGACCTTTCAAGTTTTTTTTCATGTGTAACAAATAACGTGAAGTGATCTTATTTTGTATCTTAAATTTGAGTTTTGCATTCCATAGTTTGAATTTTGGAAAACCGAGTCAAAAACGCTCTCGCTACAAAATCAAGCGCTGTCTCGCCATGGCCGGCGTATTTACGATGTTGGCAGTTCGCCGGCTATTCAGTAAAAATATCGTTTTAAGACATTTGAATGCTACTAAATCTGTTTCGTGTTCAAGTGCCAGATGTATTTCAACAGTTGAAGGCGCCCAGAAAACTTACAAACCAAATTTGGCTCTCCGTGTTTCTGATGAAAATGACTTGACTGATATAGATAGGTTTCTGCGCAAACAAAGAATTAAGGGTGCTTTGTACAGCCGCGACGAAAATGAGCAGGCTACAGAACGTTTTTGGAGTCGGATTCTAAAAGGTACAGTATTTGTTATATTCATCGTAAAGCAGCTGGGGATATGGACTTGATCGAAAGATATCTAAATATGAGAGTCAAATTAGGACTTTATAATGACCCGGAAAAGGTTTTAAAAGATATGCAAGATGCTGGATTAACGCCTAACTCCGTAGGTTCAGTTTATCAAGTAATTTTGCTTAGTGGATATACGCCTCATTTATATCTCAAAGTTGTGCTGTCGGAGATATGAATCAAACAAAGTACCCTGTCAATATATAACATTAATTTCAGCTTTTTCTTGCGTATGCTCCGAGATGCTGGATTCAAGCCCAATCGTTACATTTTTTCCCAGATTTTACACGGTTACGTGAAAGCCGGGTAAGTGTTAACTGTTTACACGGTATTTGGTCATGATCAGTGTTTTCTGCTCTGATTATGTTACCACCTGTCTGCTTGTTTTCGGTGTTCGCTGCGTCTCCTTGAATCTAGAATCCTGAAACCTTTTATCATTACATATTTTTACATCTGATACAGTCACTGGTTTCATTACTCCGAAATTTGTCTGAATAATCTAATACCTCTGCGGTACCATGGTGTAACAACCCAAACCGATGTATGGGACAGATTACGTTGTATATGGCTGGTTATAGCTTAAGGATCTAGGTAGTCAGACGACCTGTGATAGTGATTAAAATAAACGTTTTACAATATCCAGTAATTTTACCTTATGGTAAGCAGGGTGTTGGTATGAATGACTTAAGTAAACGCCATGGTATCCTTCCTGATCAGCAGTTTGTAGTTGGTCATTATTGACGCTTTAGGTAAAAATCTAAAAAATAGAAATAAACTTAACAACGTCCAGGCTAGGACAGAAGCCAAGGCACAGGCCGGATACATCGGAACGATTAAGCGAGTAAAGAGGAGCATTACAACTGACAGGCGAGAATATCTAGAAGACCTAGCAACTGTTGCAGAAAAACTAGAAGAGGTAATGTGAAACAACTATATGGCAACGAAAAAATAAGTCAAAAATTAGGTAGGCAACTCAATCACTGAGATTCAGGAGTAGTGGAATACGTAATTAGAGCTCCAGAACAGACCAGTTTTTTAAACCCAGTCAGTAACAACGTAGGACTTCGTACGTACGTACACCAGTTCGATTTGCCACACCACATTAACACAGAAATGCAGTGGTCGATTCAAATCTCGTAGTGCTAGATGTAGTAAAGTTACAAGCTGTAATCAGAAAAATTAGGGTTTGGAGATGTTATTTAAAGAGTATAATCCAATGAAATAAAATTGGGAAGATATAAAAAGAGACAAGGAGAGTTCATATTATAATTGATCAAACACGTTGTAGATCCGACCTTTTACAGCCAGACTAACATCAATTGGTGTCACCATCATGAAATACTGACTTCGGTGGCTTGGACATGTTCTACGAAATTCGTCCCAGAGAATTCCACGTCGTGCATTATTTGCCGACTCGGGCTGGTTGGAAGAAGCGGAGAGGTGGTCAGTGCATGACATGGTGTCGTGGTATGAAATAAAGCTGCAAAGGACTGTCTTCTGGTTGTCTCCCTTACCTGAAAGATTTTTTTTTCCGATTACACCTTTCCGTCCCCTCATTACTACCACACTACCTTACACCAAACTCTTCTGAGATGGTAGAGAGAACAAAACTCCACCAAAACCAAACTCTTCGTTATTCTCTTTTTTTTGCGCTCCCTAACTTTTTTTTCTGTCTCTTCGAATTCTCATTGTTTTGTGTGGCTCATATATATTGGCGCTCTTTTGTACCAATATTCATGTGTTCAAATAAATAAATAATAACATATTAGGATTTGGGAGAACACAAAGAGTCGATTCACCTGCGCCATTGTAAACGATCTTGAGCCATGTTATTCAGGGTCTCTAACCATCGGTTACTATCATTTCGCGGTCGCCAACCAGGCAGTGTATACCTATCAATATGACTCAGTCCACTTGTCAGTGACTTCATAGACTTGTGCCATGTTTTGGTCTGACCGCCCCTAGCTTTCTTCCAATCTACTCCTATATAGCAAAACATCGTACATCGAGGCAGTCGATGGTTGGGCATACGTAACATGTCCCAGCCATCCCAACTGATAAAGTTTCACCACTTCATCAATCGAGTTGCCATCCTTACCTAGTACCCGTTTCCTAACAACTGCGTTACTAACTCGATGGTCCCAGGATATACTAGCAATGTTTCGAAGACACCTATGATCAAATCCTAGTAACCTACGGATATCCTCTACTCTTACCGGCCATGTTTCACTGCCATAAAGTAGGACGAAACAAACTGTTACGCAGTAAACACGGATATCTCGCCTACGCCATGAATGACGCAAGTTGGTAAAAGCTAGTCGAGCCTTCTGTACATATTTGGCTTTTTATGTTTATTCTACCAAAGATAAAACTATTGTCTTCACTCTTAACAGTATATGGCTTGTAATACAGCATATCTATCTATACTGCGCGGCAGTCCGTTCTGTTTTACTTTACGGCAGCGAAACATGGCCTTTAAGGGTAGAAGACACTCGTAAGCTACTAGTATTTGACCACATATGCCTTAGAAATATTGCTGGTGTCTGCTGGAATCGCCGGCTAAGTAATAGTGAGGTTAAACGTAGGGTACTAGGGAATGATGGTAAGTCAGTTGATGAGGTTATGAATCTTCATCGACTGAGATGGTTGGGCCACGTGTTACGTATGCCTGAATACCGATTACCACGACATTCAATGCTAACTGGTGTTGGAGATGGAATAAAATAAGGGGCGGCCAAACCAAAACGTGGCATCAGTGCTTGCAGTCACTAACTTCTAGTCTGGGCCATATTGGTAGATGCAGACTACTTGGTTGGGATCCGCGTGACTATCGTAACCAATGGTTGGAGGCTCTTAGTGACGACTCAAAATCGTTCACAATGGCGTCGGTGTATACACTCTCTGTCTTCCTTTAAACTAAGAGATTAAAATCACTTCATATCTTTCTTTCTACTAACTAATTCTTTCTTCCTATACTATATCCTTATATGCAATCTTTCTCCTATATATTACCACCTTTGACCTAACCACTCCTATGAATCCGGTGTTCATCTTGCTGTGCTAATGAGGCATGGCAACCTGGACCGATGCATATATGTGCCTGGTCCTTCGTTGTAGCTGACTGACTAATATCTATAATTGTTGAGTTGCATCATCGGCTGGTCTTTCGACGGATGTTGTACTAGTCGATCTTACCTCTAGATTGGTACAATCCATCGCGCCACTAGTGACGTTTTATGTTGGTCCACAAGCATATCATCTTAGTATTAAATCGTTTACATTTTATCCACATAATTATTTCCACCTCCGTGCTACAGCTTCCAACCTCAACTCACTCCAGTCTAAGATATTAGTTATAATCACTATCCAAGTATATTGTCATCAAGTTATAATAACATTTACTTGTTCTGAACACTGAATAAAATTGTTTAAAATACCCTGGTTTTATTTTGAGTTAATTTGTATTTAAACTTCAAAACAACCTTTCAGACTACCTGAGGAAGTTTCTTCTACGCAGGAGTTACTATCTCAAATAGGTTTGTGGCCATCAAAGTTTGCATATGAAGGCCTTTTGTCCGCTTACGCTGATATTGGTGACAAAGACAGTTTATTACGAACTCTAGACGAGGCTTACGCTGTACTCCCTTCAATAGATGACAAGACAGCATCCCGTGAAATCTCACATATTTTACTCTTGGATCTGTACACAAGATTAATGTGTTCGTCGGCATATACCGATGCAACGTGCAGTGAGGTATTTGGTCAATTTATTGTTATATATATTTGGTATTTTACCTTATTAAATTATCTTTCCGTACTAAAATGTGAAGGATTTTTACAAATTGTATTAATTGTTCAACATACTACCATAGATGTCGCTTCATGCGATCTACAAAATTCATTCGTATATGAACTTGAGTAACACTGTAGAAACCGGAGTTAACATTTTCTAAGCTAATAACTTTCTAAACAGTAAATTTCACCTCATGATAATAAAGTAACTTGAAAAGCCGAATTAAAGTGAAATTTCTTCTGGGAACATGTAATGTCTCGTGAATTTCTGCATTCAGAATTGTGTGGAAGTAGATAGATGAATGTAGATCAGGTTCACGTTTTTGTAGATATAACAATATGCATTAAATCTGTTAGATAGTGTGACTCCTATATGTTTGCCCAGCTTCTGTCTGCGCTAATGTAGTTCTGCTCCCTCTGTCTTGATTTTGTGCAATTTATTATATCAGTCTAATCATATTTCGACCAAGTTCTATTCAATAGCCTGTTCAAGATTGTATCTAACTGTTGATAATTTGTTTCACATATTTTTATTTACTAACCTACAGATTGCAACAAAATTACTTACAACAGATTACTTCCCGTTGGAGTTTGCTATTGACACTGTCAAAGTACTCTTAGCGAAGGGACGTCCAGCTGCTGCTTTGGAAATTTTCAAAATAATACATAAGTATCAAAAACAAAATGATCATCTATCTGCATTTCCGGTTTATGCTGCTGCTGGTGGTTTGGTTAGTCACTTTTTTGTTTATATATACTACACAATTTAAGCGTTCCCTCCAATTTTGTTTTTGCTACAGTTTCGCTCTCTTAGCTGTTTGGTTTATTCGTGAAGCTTATTGTTCAGATAGAAGTAGAAGCGACATATTCAAATTTCTCTACGTGTGACTGATAACGTCTTGTCGACTTTGATATCTTAAATACACCCGTTACACATGGTGGCGAAAATAGGCCTTCCATGTACGACTTTGTAGTGTAGTCCGTTGTAAAAATCCCGTATGATGTCGATGATCTCCTCAGTTACTCATTCCAGTGTCAAAGTCGGTTCCATAAGGTTCTCCTACCTACGCCGTCATTTGATTTCTCATAGCCGAGGAAGGTGATTTATAGTAAAACGTTTCGTATAATTGATTGTCCCACAATGATCTATGGTTTCGCGATTTGGCGTGTGCTCGAATGGTCGTCACGGAATCAAACTTGTTGAACTCGAAGTTGAGCGTCTGCTGAATTTTCCATCCGGTTCAGCAGCACTGTTGAGAACTTATCCTGATACCGATAGTAGTGTGATTCCTCTGTAGTTCTCACATTAGCTGATATCTCCAGTTCGTTGGCACTTGCTCTTCCTCCCAGATGTTCCTGAATGGAGAGCAAGGCATGTTTGCAGTTACTTTTATGTGTGACTTCAGTACTTCAAGTGGCATATTTTCAGTTCGCGCTGCTTTCTCACTATTGATTTGTCTGATGACGGGCCATTCTGGTTTCTTCGATCGTTGGTGTAGTGACAACTATAGGAGGGTCTGTGTGTGATGCTTCGATATCCGTTGATTTAAGTGAGGCGGGTCTACTCAAGAGTTCCTCGAAGTATTCTACCCATCTGTCTCTCTGTTCTTGAATCTCTGTGATTGTCTTATCCATTTTATCCTTGACCGGTCGCTCTGGTTTACTATATTTCCCTGTCAGTTTCTTCGTCTTGTCATATAGTTGCTTCATATTTCCTCCTGTTTTGACTTTTTTCCTCGTCGTTGCTAGGTCTTCCATATATTTCTGTTTGTCGGCTCTAATGTTCCTCTTCACTTACTTGTTGCTTCTGTGTATTCAGCTTGTGCCTTGACTTTCTCTGTTGTCAGTTTCTGTCTTCTTGTTCTTCCTTTCTTGAATCTTGTTGAGGGTTTTGATGGAGATGTATTCCTTATGGTGATGCTTGTCGCGACCTAGCACCTCCTGACACGTTGATGTTAATGCCTCTGTGATCCCTTTCCAATTGTCCTCTATAGTAGTTTTTTCTTCTTTGAGTAAATCTTGTACGGCTTGGAACCTGTTGTTGAGAGTTATATTAAATTGGAAATATCTCTGACTATAGTTGAGAATTTTTTCTGCGTGAGTTGGTTCCCAATATACCTTTGCTTTCAGTTTTTCTGTTGTGTTTCTTGTGTCTGACATGTCTAAAAATGACAGTTTTTGTCCGATTTTTCCATTGTAGAGTTTATGTACTCAAAGACCTTGACGTTGTAGATATTCTCCAGCTCCTTTTTAATGTTTACGAATTTATCATCTACATAGAGCTGTAGCTTCAAAGGACATTATCATTTTGTCGTCATTGATTTAAATTTCCCTAGTCTTATACTTTAATTGTATGAAATATGTAATGATGTAGACGGATAAGTTCACCAAAGGTTTCAGTATTTAACTTCCTCCTGATAAATTATATGTTAAGGTTCCGAGGAGTGATTAGATTGGACTAGTGGGGCATTTGGTTTGTGTAGTTTCAGCCCACCATAGAATAGAAAGAGAATTTATCCATTGTCTTTTATTCGTGATTTGTCTTATATCGATATTAGTCTTGCTTTGTCAAGCTTTTTTGACGCTCTGCAAGTCTTTTTCCAACCTTTCATTGGATTTGTGTCCGTTGTTTTTATATGCTTATATCCTCAAGTAGCTTATCAATTTATCATTCATCGTTCATAATTACTGTGGCACATCTTTTACTTTCGAGTATTATGAAATTGTCTCTTCTTTTTGAGTTTCTTCATGGTATTTCCTGTGCTCTCAGTTGAATATGGTTTTTCTCCCATTATGTTCGGTGTACACTTATTTCCTATCAAATGTCTTCATTTGTTTCTGATGTTTTTATTCATGATTAGTGCAGCAAAGATTTGTAGTTTTAGAGCGTCATTAGTAATCTAGTCCAATCTCTTTAGTAGACTGTGTTAAAGTGTGTTTTGTCAAATCGATTGCATCATTGTTTTGTGTCATTTGCCGCATATTTCAATCAGAGTTGTCAAGTGTTTTGGTGAGTATTCTAACATTGGTCCAAGATTTGTTTGTCCATTCACTTAAAAGAAAAATCTTCTAAGTCATTGTTTATTTCATCTCCATACCTAACATTAAATATTTTAATTTGCACCTCACCTGTCTTTGTTTTACCAGGATTACAAGGCACTAGAACCTTTCTGGCATACAGCTAATGTGGATAGTAAAGAGCTGTTTATGCTTAGAAATAAATGTAAATTGTGTAAGTAATATGATTTGTAATGTTCATATTTGTATAAATATAACCGTATTGAATTTTGTCCAGTTTAATGGACAGAATCATCCGCCTAAGTGTTTGCACTCGTGGTTAATTTTTACGACTGTTTTGAATTCATATCTTTTCGTAGTAAACCTTATAGAAAATACATACCTACATTGTAAGTACTTTCTGCAGTGTTATTTCAATAGGTAAAAAAATTGACATCACTTGTATATTTTGAGTAAACTAGCTGTCTGTTTGTTGCTGCTGTGTGTGATATGTTTTGCACCAGGTTTAGCATATTGTTATTTTTTAAACGATTCTTGTAAATTATTGTTCCAGTCATTTGTCGCTGCTACTGTTTCTGTTTGTATATTGAAGTGAATTTTACAAAATAAGATATAACGACTGTAAAACGATGCATTAATTATATATTACAAACTCATTCATGCCTTAGTAGATAACCAAGACATCTGAACTTTATGTTCCCAAAGTTTATACATTTTCTGTTATTCACTATCCTAGACATCCATATATTCACGTGTTCAAATATTTTAGCTGGATAGTTTTCAAGACCATCATTTGCATATGTCGTAAAAAGTCTTACGAAGAAATAGTTATCTATTTCATAATTCTTGTTTAATTTCACTGTATTCATTATAATTTTGAATGTGTATTATTGTCATGAATCACACGGCAAACTTGTGTAATTTACTCAACATTTCATCCATAAAATTAATTCTTGGATAATATTTTGATTTTGTATATCTATCTAAAGAAAATTTCTCTCTTTAGATTTCCATCGGATTGGTAAAACAAACAGTAAATTGGGCGATCAATTTCAAACCTGTCTTGAAGAGAACAACGTACAAGGTTGGTTATTCATCATAAAGTGTAAAGCTATTAAAACTAACTTGCCATCAGTTTAATTCACTACAACTTATGCCCGTTACCCCTCGTGGAGGAGCATAGGCCACCCATCAATATTCTCCATCAAACTTTCATGGATAATCCTTTTCAGTTGCTACTCATTCTTATGATATCTACTTCCAATTCTCGACACAGTGCTCTTTGGTCTTTCTCATTTCCGTTAACCTTCAGGATTTCAAGTTAGGGCTCGCATCGTGATGCAGTTTGATGGTTACCCTAATGTATGTCGTATCCACTACCAGCGTCTTTTCGTGATTTCCTCCTCAGCTCAAAGTTGGATTGTTCTTTCCCATAGTTAGCTGTCGCTGATGGTATCCAGCCAATGGATATTGAGTATATCGCGTAGACAACTATTTATAAATACGTGTGCCTCTTTGATGATGGTTGTATTAGTTGCTGAAGTTTCAGCTTTGTACAGTAGAACTGTCTCGACGTTCGTATTGAAGATTGTGACTTTGATATTGTTTGACATTTGTTGCAAGTTCCAGATATTGTTCAATTGTAGGAATGTTGCTCTTGCTTTACTGATCTTCACCATTACATCTGTATCAGATTCTCCCTGTTCGTCGATGATGCTGACCTTGTCATGTGCTAAAAGTTTCCACTTGCTCCAGAGTTTGTCCATCAAATGTGATTTGTTTGGTTTGTGTTTCCTGCGTTGTATTTTAGGATGTTGGATTTTACCTTGCGTATTTTAGGACCTACTGATGTAGTCTTCTGCTACACGGGCTGTTTTCATCTGCATTTGTTGGTGTATATAAGATAAATAGTTGGGTCATCTTGGATGTTCAAATCGTCTAGTTGCATCCAAGCTTTTCATTGTATCCCGTGCTTCTCCTCACATGTGAGGGTGTTCATAATCTAGTCAACCACCATAAGAGAGAGAGAGAGAAAGAGTAAGCAGCTTTATCTGACACCAGTTGTCAATTGAAATGCGTCTATCAGCTGTTATCCATGCCCGACTTTGTAGTGTAGACCGTCGTATAAATGCTGTGTACTACAACTTAGCAATAACGTAAAAATAATTATTATCTTATGTTATTCTTATAATATATTTATTCTCTGTCTCCATACATTTAGCATCGGTGTTGTTTTGATTTGGTCAATCTTCATTAACGTAGAGCCTAGGACAGATGTCCATTGGCTCAATTCGTCATGTCATATTAGGACGCCAAGATGTAGATAACAAAAAGTATATCAAAAAGAAGTCAAAATAATGTAACAATGATAATGAGAAGGAGTAAGCGTGAAGTAATTTAAAACTACAAAGTTGGAGGTTATTTGTAAAAGAAATATCGATATCTAAGATTGAGAGGAAGTTTCAGAGTATACAAAACTGGGCCACCATTCAACTCTGCTTAGAATGCTTTTGGCTGAGTAGATTGTCGATGCAATCTACACATGATACACAAATCCCAAAGGAGACTAATCACTTGCGGTTTTAAAAAAACAATGAAATGATTCAAACAATCAGTACGCATGATTATCCCATACTATTTCACTGGTTGTTGCGCACACTCCTACCAGGGAGTCTACATCAATCAACATAGTTAAGGACCAACAAATTCGTGGACTACTGTCATGTTTTAGATACTTCATCGCTAGTCTTCCGACTTCTACTACAATGATCCACCGAAAGCTATTTCAACTCTGAGCCACGCAGAATAAGAAATTGGTATCAGTGAAACAATCTCTAAAGCTGATGATACCCCAATTAGCAATGTTCAAATACGTCGGAAACGATTAGCAGAGTTTTCGAAAAGCAGTACAACTGTTCTGTTGCTCCATAGTCATCGACTAGTCTATTCTGCTCTCCGTGATCACCGACGAATGGACCACCTAACAAAAGAAAGATCCACGTGGAACTCCATCTTATAAAGCGTCATAAGTTAGCAAGACCAAACAGTTCACCCCTGGTTATTTTTTGGGAACGTAGCGAACCTCTGATCAGGAAGGTGATAGATTTGTTACAAAAAGTATAAAAATTAAGTGTCCCAACATCTTGAACTAAAGCAAAAGTCCTACTTAGCCTTGAAAAAGGCTTTGTCATCTAAACAATAGCTATCAGAGTCTACTGTCGACTGCATTCAAACGATTGGCTCCCGTCATACTACACAGGCTGATCAAAATTCTTGAAAGTCTGATACGGGTGGGGGCAAGGTGGTTTCCGTTCTGGTCCAAGAATTAACAATTACATATTTTCACTGTGCCAAACGTTAAAACATCACCGTACTTATTGCACATCAATAATCGTTGTGCTTCTTGATATGACGGTCACCTTTGTTTTGTTGAATGAGATTGCTCTCAGATTGTTTGTTTAAGAAGGGTATCTCCAAGAGTTTTATTAATATCTTGATGGCTCGGTATACAAACACGTAAGGAACAGAGAAGGCATACAACCACCTATCTGCATTGTTCCATTTCAACAGTATGGTTAGGCAGGATTAGTTAATCTCGTCATTTCCCCCACAACTTTACCATCGATGACATTCTGAAAGCGTTACTCATGGAAGTGGGTAGTGGTGGTGGTGTGGATCATTTTACTGGGGAAGTATTTCTAAACCTGAATATACGAATGATATTGTTTGACTGAGTGATAATACTCAGGCTACGACAGTTTATGATTCGGTACAATGAAATGGTGCAACTCAGTGACTTGAGACTTTGTCAGAAACGGCTTAAATTAGAAACCAATGGCGATCCCATCGTAATCTCTTTTACATTTCTCTTGACAGGAACAAACTAAACGAAGTATTTTGGGTTGGATTTTCAACTGAATTACATCTTTAAGGACATGCTATTAAAGTAATAATCAGAAATTGTGTGACGGTAACTAGATTCGAAGCACATGTGTCAGGTCCTACTTTACACATGACTGACTGGTGCGAACTTCCAAGATAAATTTTTAAAGGAGTAGTGTATGGTTTCTGTTTTGGAGGTTCTACTCCCTGCCTTAAGCCAATAGGGATATATTTTTATAAGAAAGTAAAAAAATGAAAAGAGGAACTTGAACCTTTATGGTGTGTATAGAAGAAATTACAAACCCTGATCACTCACTATGTTTTTCACATTACACGAAATTTAATGCGACAAATGCTTTTTAAATCCTGCAGCTTGCGTTTGTTTCTTTTCAAAGACTACGTTTCACAGCTGTAAAGTAATACATTGAGAGCTGATCCCGTCACAGACATCCTACTTACACTATTTATGATGTATGTTGTCTAAGGTTGATTCTTTGTCGCAATTTTGTTAGATACCAATCTATCTGGGCAACTATAAACTGACAGCTGAGAAAATCAGCTTTGAGATTTTTTGTTCTGATTATTGACAGTATGTACTCAGCATATTTGCTTGACTTCTTATGCGAGTATTATGTTAACTTTGTGTTGATATTTATCTGTTCAACCTAATGATACATTAATTCTTTTATTTCCTGTTTAAGCTTTGCTCCTACATTCACTGTTATACTCATTTATGGTGTAAAAGCTTGTTATTATGTTCACTACTTTTTCTGTAGGCGCTCTTGATTTATTGAAGAACCTAAATAAAACGAACATTACATTAGCATATTCATTGTTTCTACCAAAATTAAACCGCTCGGGGTTTTCTTTACAGGACTTAATCAATCAAACTCAAGTACGTTTTATACGTATTATTATTTTTACTAATCTTGAATAAATCTTACGATACGGGTATTCGTCAATATTAGAACGAATAGTCTGACAAAAAATGGGCGCCGAATATAGAGAAGCCATTATACGTGTAAATTATATTTGAAGTAATCTCAGCGACAGAAATTCAAATAATTTTGATCTTGATTACCCTGAAGAAGTTTGCTGGACGAAACGTTGGAATAATTTAAATTTCAATCTCTGAGATTAAGTCAAATATAATTTTCACATATAATTAAATCTTAGTGTTAATCTGTATGAGTTTACATATAAAGTTATTAATGATACCTAAAGTTATCTGAAGATCTTTAATGCCTTATCCAAAAAGTTACAAGTCCCAGTCCTTCGGCACTTTGGTTTGAGAGACCGAGTGGGCCACGTGTTACGTATGCCTGAACACCGATTACCACGACGTGCTATGCTAACCGGTGTTGGAGATGGTTGGAAGAAAGTAAGGGGCGGCCAAACCAAAACGTGGCATCAGTGCTTGCAGTCACTAACTTCTAGTCTGAGCCATGTTGGTAGATGCAGACTACTTGGTTAGGATCCGCGTGACTATCGTAACCAATGGTTGGAGGCTCTTAGTGACGACTCAAAATCGTTCACAATGGCGTCGGTGTATACACTCTCTGTCTTCCTTTAAACTAAGAGATTAAAATCACTTCATATCTTTCTTTCTTCCTGTAATATATCCTTATTGCAATCTTTCTTTTATATATTACTACTTCTGAATTAACTACTTTTATGAATCCGGTGTCCATCTTGTTGTGTTAATGAGGTATTGCAACTCGGACTGATGCATTTATGTGCCTGGTCCTACGTTGTAGCTGACTGACCAAACCTTGCCAAGTGTGTGAGTTTGCGCCCAGTGAAGTAGCTATTTGTAATTATTAAGTTTGTTTCTGATAGTTCAATGTGTCTTGAACATGTATGTGAATGCCCATATCTAAATATCATAAGAGTAATGTCTCATTATGTTAATGGATGTTCTGTTAAGATTTTCATGAAATTCAGTTTTAATAGTGAAGATTATCATTAATCAAAAACACCATAATTGTATTTTCAGCGGTACTATACTTGAGTGAATTTTGTTTTGATTGATTGATCAAGAATGTATTCCTTCGTTATTGAATAATAATACACAAAACGTTTATCCCGTTTCGTCTAGGTCATTTCTGGTTATCGAGACTTCTTTTGTTAGAATTCGATTCTACTGCAATATTCTTACAAGAAAATGATGACATTCTTTATTTTGCTTATATATGTTAAATCTATAATTTTAAAATTATTATTTTCTATGTTTTTGCATTTTAGGATCATGAGATTAATAAGGCTTTAGTGTTTGGATATGTGTTTAATAACCTAGCATCAATACAATCAACAGACGATTTAAAATCACGTTTAACTAGCTGTTTGGAATTAGTGAATGAGTATCGCGCTAAGGAATTACTACCGTACAATGATGTTGTTCGTTTGGGCAACTCCATTGTAGTTAAACTGGTAATTAGTCAATTATACATTTTGTTTTTGTTGTATGAAATAAAAAATATCTGGACACACATTACTTACTTACTTTGCGCCTGTTACTCCCAATTGAGCATAGGCCGCCGATCAGCATTCTCCAACCCTACTCTATCCTAGGCCTTCCTTTCTAGTTCCATCCAATTGTTGTTCATTCTTCTCATGTCTGTCTCGGCGTAATGTGTTCGTTGGTGTTCCTCTTTTCCTTCGGCCTTGAGGTGTCCATGTGGGGGCTTGCCTTGTGACGCTAAAAAACGGGAACCGGGCACATTGCGCTATGGTAAATTGCATTTACATTTAAGTGGAGATAAATTCGTCAAGTTTTGCATTTGGAAACTGTATTTATATTTCGTCAAAGTGTTATCTGATTAACTGTAATGCATATAGCATAAGTTATTAGTAAGACCTGTTTTTCACAAACTTCCTATCTGATTCTAATACCTAATGATATTTCAGTTTTTATCATAGGTTTTATTTATCATCTCGGAATATTACATTGGTTTGAAGACCCCATGTGTAGGTGTTATTTGCAAATGCTTACATTTCCTTATTGTACGTGGTATAAAATAGTGGCCACTATCGTGGCCGTTGTCCGGATACCATCAGCAACAACTTACTGTAGTAAAAAACAAACCAATTCCTACCTGGAGAGGAAATCAGGAAAAGACGTTGGTATTGGATACAACATACATTAGGGTAACCATCAAACTACGCAGGATAAAATTCAACATCCTCAAATACAACGCAGGAAACACAAACCAAACAAATCACATTTGATGGACAAACTCTGGAGCAAGTGGAAACTTTTAGCACATGACAAGGTCAGCATCATCGACGAACAGGGAGAATCTGATACAGATGTAATGGTGAAGATCAGTAAAGCAAGAGCAACATTCCTACAATTGAACAATATCTGGAACTTGCAACAAATGTCAAACAATATCAAAGTCACAATCTTCAATACGAACGTCGAGACAGTTCTACTGTACAAAGCTGAAACTTCAGCAACTAATACAACCATCATCAAAGAGGCACACGTATTTATAAATAGTTGTCTACGCGATATACTCAATATCCATTGGCTGGATACCATCAGCGACAGCTAACTATGGGAAAAAACAATCCAACTTTGAGCTGAGGAGAAAATCGCGAAAAGACGCTGGTAGTGGATACGACATACATTAGGGTAACCATCAAACTGCATCACGATGCGAGCCCTAACTTGAAATCCTGAAGGTTAACGGAAATGAGAAAGACCAAAGAGCACTGTGTCGAGAATTGGAAGTAGATATCATAAGAATGAGTAGCAACTGAAAAGAATTATCCATGAAAGTTTGATTGAGAATATTGATGGGTGGCCTATGCTCCTCCACGAGGAGTAACAGGCGTATGCAATGTAAATATTCTAAGCAGAATTCCTCTATTCCTAATCTCATCCAAAAGTTTATAGTGTTTTGTGAATCGTGGTTTAGAGTGGAGTTCAATGTTGAAGTGTTAAATATTAGCTACGACGTTGTGTTTGAGGACCGAAAATAAGTATAAAAAATTATCAAATCACAATAGAGACAAACCTATGATCCAATGTTCTACTGTTAGTCATCATCCAAATATTTTGCATTGGTCATTGAAGCGTTTATCAAACATTCAGTAACAACGTAGAATGTATGTACAACATTTCAATTTGTCATAACCCATTAGCACAAAGATATAACTATCAGGCTGAATCACAGAATAGTAGAGGTAATAATGGTTTTAGTGGTAATATAAAAGATTAAGCATCGAACATACAATTCGAGAAAATATTAATATGGTGCATTAAAGACGCGAAAGAAGTTATAAAGAATTGTAACGCTTAGAATCTGTTAGGACACAAAATGGATGCACTGGCGCCATTGCAAACGATTTGGAAGCCTGGCACTCAGGTCAATCAGCAATCAACAAACATATTGAAATCAATCCAATTTATCAACCAATCAGGAAAATCATGCATAAATATAGGAACAAAAATCAAACCAATGGGAGAAAACCAAAACAAAGAAGTAAACAATGATAAATTTAAGGTCAATAAGAACCAATCAACATCGAGGCGCACAGAACAAGTTGTGAAACACATGTGGAGAAGTTCGAACACTTCACTTCTATCTGAAGTTTGTGCTGACGATGTCGTTCAGAAAAACGATGAAAGCTCCACGACCAAACCATCCAGCTCAGAGAACAAAACTCCACCAAAAAGCGCTTTCTCTTCCGTTCAGTTGGTGGTACACTCGGGTTGTAATCTGTCAAGTTATGAGTGGTGTTTACATTAAGACACCGTTTTCTCACTTTTATAGAGCTTTCTAATCGAACAAAGAAAACCAAATCTCTTTTCTAATCTGCATCTGTGTGCGAATGTTATAGTAGTCAGTAGTTTCAAACATTAGGAAAAAACCTATTTTCTTATCACTAATTATTTCATAATATGTACTATTATTAGCTTTGCTGTGTTAATGAAGTATGACAGCTTAAACCGAATCAAGTTAAAATTTCGACTAGACAGGTAATTAAGGTTATATCGATGAAACAGGATTTGCCCCATAGTCACTCAGTGTCAAGAATTGGTAGGGTGTAATTGCGTTGTTAAGTTTTAATATTGATTTTGCTATTATCATGCTCAGAAGAGTACTTTTCTTAATTGTTCATTACTTAGTTTCTTTTTCAATCTATGCGTTTTTCTATTATGCAACGTCTGAATTTTTTTTCTGACTTTCGATGGATGTGCTTTTCTTGTTTTGTTTTCTTAAACCTCAGGTGACAAATATAATATCCGTTTCAGATATGGCAGAAATCGCAAAGTTGAATAAATCAACCGTAATGCATGACGTTTTCCGCATTTTCAGTCATACACTAACAAAACGTTCGTTACGTATGCTGTACTTGCAAGTTTTCGAAGCTTTGATGCTATCCAACCTTCGTTCATTTCATGGCATCCCAAAAAATACTGTAATTCAACTTGTAGCTGATGTATGCGCTCATCAAGTAAGCGAAGAATATTTTCGTTTTAATTTGTTGATGGTCGCACTTAGACTTGATTTCTGTTTTGTTGGTAGTAAATGATTTAAATATTAGAAAAATACACTTGTTACTGAGTTTTATTGAACTTCTCAGTTATTTAAATAAAATTATCACTTAAGGAGCTAGTGTAATGTGCATTCAAAACTACCTGTTGTTAGTTTGAGAGTATTTTGATTAACGTAGGTCATCGTTATGTCTTATTGACATTCTGCAAACGAATTCTATCGCGTGGAGCTGCTCGATAAAACTTGAAAATTTTAAATCAAAGTATAATGTGTAACTGCAGACTATATGGGAATCCAGTTGCCACATTGTAACTTGGTCGATAGATTTTGATCCCTTTAATTTACCCGTCGTGGAAGAGCATAGGCTGACCATCAGGAATTTTTGGCCAGTGTTTTTAAGTAAGTTTGTTTTCTACGTGATGGGGTTTCTGACTCCATGCCCAACCTCCTCGTTTACCAGGGTTTGGAACCGGGAGTAACACTAGAAAGGCTACAGGCATTAACCAATGAATTAAAACATTTTTACTAACTGCTGCATGCATATGAGACAGTGTATCGATAAAACCAATTCCTATTACAATACCCTTTTTTCATAGCTTCTTGAATTCATCAGTAATGTTTACAGAGTACTCTTATCGAAGAATAAATATTTTTTACGAAAATTTAAATTCTGATGTACACTTGGTCTCCGTGTAGGACGATTTTTACGGTCAAAATAGGCAGATCGTATACTAAAAACTCAAAATTCTATTAATTTCTGCTGTTTGTGTGCTAATTATTTTTACTGTTTACACCAAATGTGTGTGGAGTACTATTACTCCTACAGTTGTTGCTGATTTACAGGTTTCAGAAAGGTACATATTTATTTGTTGCTCCTTAAATTCCAATTTTTATCCGTAGACAATATTTTTTTGACCCTATTTCTCATCATAAGTTACGTCTGAAAACTGGTAATCTGTTTAGGGAATAGTGCTTTCACGGGCAAACGATTTACTGAGCTCTTAACTACCGTACTAGTCCAAATATGTTCACTTATGCGCTAAATTTCATCCTCTAACTCTTATTCATTTATTATAAATTCATTGGTTTATTTGAGATCTCAAATTAATATAAGTTAAACAGCCAGTTATCGGTTTGTGATCTCAGCAAAATTTAACTATCTCCACAACTATCGTACTGATAGTTTTCTAGTACCTGTAGTTATTAATCTGGATATTTTATTGAAAATACTATCGAGTTCTTGACCCCAAGACATTCACCTGCGTTATTACTTGGTATTTTTTTTGTATTCATTTGCGACTTTTTTTTCTTTTAGAATGTCACGTTTGGCTATGGTGATTGGATATTATCAGGATTGAAAGATGCCGGTGTACCAAGGGTACGTTTCGCGCACATGGATAACATATTAATTATATGCATATCCTTGCAATTTGTCATTTTTTGAAACCGTTAGTATTTGCATTAGTTAAAAATCAATTTTCTGTTGTTTTTATTTGTGTGAAACACTAGGACTGTTGACATGTGATCTGCGAAGTTTGAGGATGTGATCATATCCTAAAGTACATTGCATTTTTGTTTGAATATGTGTTTTATGATCGTATTTTCTTTTTTCTATTATTCAAGCACATTGTGGCAAAACTTTCTTCTGATCAATCTGTAGAACTATCTTCGTAAGTTTAATCATTGTTTCTCGCTTTTCAAATCCAATCCAAGTCTGTAAAGTTAGTAAGAAATCAATAATCCACGCTTCTTTTTAACATCACTTTGTTTATTTATAGGTGTTACTAAACTCGAAGCATTTGGTTTTCATAAGGGGGTTATTCTCTGAGCCCTCATGCCAGACAACTAATTCACATGTCCTTACTTTTCTTACTAATGCTTCCTTTTTCCATTATGCTCTTCAATTTCAGGTTTTCAGATCTTAGCGTTGTGCTTTTTGGTGGGCGAACGAGCAATGGTAAGCACAAAATCAATTAAAGATCATTCTTGTATAGTGTATTGTTCAATTTATATACTTGGTTTTCTGTATGGGTTTTACTATCATTGGTTACTGAATTTGAAAGAAGATTAGAACGTTTTTGTTAATACTCATCAATGTCAAGCCGTTATACCGTTTTTGTGAATTTCCCTGTTTCTTTGCACCGCTGTCGCTGGAGATATGGTACTATAAACATTTTGAAAATAGTTCTATCGCTTTTGTGCCTTAGCGTGAGTTATCACATCGCCATTAGCAGTAGCCTTTTCCCCATGATTATATTAGCTATTTTTATCGATTAGTCACAAAAAACAGCATCATTTCAAGTTTCCGTACCACATTAAGGCATAAAATAACATAACGGTAATTGTTAAAAGTATTGACTTCCATAACACTATTCAGATTGTTGGAAAACCGAGAAAGGCTGAATCGGGTGGAGGTGGTTCTGTTTCAAGAAGCATCAACCATATCTGCACCCTTTTCCAAATGTTAGAAGATCGTCATAATTATAGCACGCTAACAGTCGTTGTGATTTTCGGTATCTTGGTTATCTTCATTACGCTAAATATGATTGTATTTTGGGAACATCTGGGTTTTTCCTGTCATCCCAATCAAGTCGGTTGGAGAACAATAAGACTAAACTCAGCGAACTCATGGCTCGTAGAGTATGATGTATGGCTGACTTTATTATTTTACTGCAATAAGTTGTTTGTCGCAAACAACCAACATCTGAAGTAATGTTACCTCGTCACAAAGGAATGAATGTTTTAGAAAAGGTATATTCTAAAAACAAAACTTCACCTTACATCATACATTTTGATCTCTGGCAGAAATATGATTTAAGCTTTATGATTAGATCTTTTTAATTGATCAGTACAAAGCAATTCTAAAAACTCAAGTTTCAGAGAAAGAAAGATTTTATCGTTCTACGACTTGACGATGTATTTTAATTGTTATAAGGCCCAATAGTTCAAGGTCTTCTCCAAGCGGTCTCTTACAAAACTTCGTAAACCGTTACACTCTCGCTTTTTTGTACGGTGCTTAAATATTTGAAAGATTTCCCCATTGTTATCGGATATTCATGGGACAAGGTTAGATTTCTTACAATTACAATCGATCATTTGTAAATCCCATCTCTTGCTTTAAAAAAGTATGATACAGGATATCTGAAGTAAATACTTTACTGCCGTCACACCTCAGTTTAGTCACCAATACTGCTTCACACTGCAACCATAAATTGCTGTTTTTTATTGGAACACGAGAAGGTAGTAATTAGGACTTCCGTGACAATGGTTGTATGCAAATGGTCATGTGAGAGCATTTCGAGGGGGAGGGCTGACTCTCAACACTCGGCTGTACCAGGGCATTCGTGGGCAAATTGATGCTTGGAGTTGTATAATTCTTTACCTACGTACTTCGTATCGTAAACCCTAAATGTGAAAGTGTTTCACCGAATATCGCTTGACTAGATCATCACAATGTAAATGCCTGAGCATTATGTCATTGTCGCAACTATAGTTATGATCGTTTTTCACCAAATCTGTATGGTTTATGTTGAGTTGGTGATTTCCTCATATGCATGTTTCGCTTGTTTTACTTATCTTTCGAGAATTTGACATATTGAAAATTTTTAATGATAGTCATTGACACAGCTGTTATGTAAACATGTGATTCATTATGAATATTGTAGGAATATATTAATATACATTTCCTTTTCCACTTTTTCTAATATTAAGCAGTCAGAAGAAACGAAAATGAAGATTCATTAGCTAATCAGATGGTATGTTGTGTACATTATACATATTTTTATAGAATGAAATACATAGTTACAATTTCCCATAAATAAAGCGTTTTCTGTATTTAAAACTCTTAGAACGTTGATTGTAGCACAAACTTGTGTGCTACGTTTACTGAACACTGACTATATTATTTACGCTTTCTGATAGTGTGTATTATTGTGTATGTGTTTCAGTCTTGTTTATTTTACACGTTGTTCATAATTACTTTAATGTTTTTACAGAAGTTGCCTTCTGAAGAATCAGTGCCATCTGCCGCCGAATCACTTATTAAGTAAGAATATTATGCGATTATTAATTTGTTATTGTTTGATTTTTCTAACTAATTGGTTTCTTTTACTTCTGGGTTGACATCTAATGTAATGCTTTCAATTGAATGTAATGTTAGTCAACCATTTGTAGTCAGCGTAGTGCCTGAAATTAATTATGATCTAGCTAGTATGTATATGTTGTCACATGATAAGATTACTGTTTTTTCGTCAATATTACCTTTTATTTCGCTACTAAAACTTGCTTGGTTTCAATATCCCTTATTATAGAGCACTAAAAGATGATCCTAAAAAATTGGATACGGAATTAAAATCTATTGAAGCTTTATGGAGTTTACAAAGTATGTTTATCATTTGTTTTTAGATATGTATATATTTCGTAGATTTTTATTTTATTATTCTATAATAATAATCATTGCTAATCTGTATTATTTTGTTACTTTCAAGAGAAATTCATTTTATTGAGCTATCTCGTAAATCTTGGATCAAAAGATCTAGTTGAACGTGTGTTACAATTTTTGCCTGAAGAACAAAGAAAACAACGTGAACCAATGAAATCACTTGCACATATAATAAAGTGAGTATATTTTATTGAAAGAAAAGAAAAGAATTAGAAATTTCCTCTTTCATTGTATAATGTAATTGAAAAATCCCTCCACTTTACTTGTTCAACAAGTATACGATTTTATAAAGACAAAAAATTATTTAATTTCATAGTGTGGTTGTTTTCATTACAGAATAATGTTATCATATATTCGTATAAATGCTTTTAAAGTTGTCAACTTCTCGATTAGTCAGTAACAACGTAAAACTTCGTACGTGCGTACATCACTTCGACTTGCCACACCACGGAAACAACTCTCGACTCAAATCCCGTAATGGTAAAGGTAGTAAGAGTATAAGCAGTAATCGAAGAGATTAAGGTTTGTAGATGTTATTCAACGAGTATAATCCAGTGATATAAATTATAAAAGAGAAAGAAAGGACATGAATAATTCAGAAAAATTTGGACAACACAAAGAATGGATACACCTGCGCCATTGCAAATGATTTTCAGCTGTGTCATTCAAGATCTTTAACCATCAGTTGCTATCGTATTTCGGATCCCCCAAATACTCAGGTACGGCCGAGAGTGTTGAGAGTCAGCCCTCCCTCACTAAATGCTCTCACGTGATCACGTACATACAACCATCGCCACGGAAGTCCTAATTACTGCCTTGTCGTGATAGGGATGTTCTTTACGAAATTGAGAGGATGAAAAGCGAATGTCTGGCCCTTTAACTATATTGGTAGACACGAGGAGTCAACCTAGGAGAGTTGGAAAACCTTGATTTTAAAACCAATGGTGCACATGGGTTTCAGTATCCTGAGGGAACAAATGGCATATGAACCATTTATTGGTCACCGGTTATCATGGAACTGTATTTCCTGATGTTATCTCCCTGCCTTGTGGATCAGAACTTTAGGTCGAAAGCTCCATGTGTGATCCCCTAAGAAAACATCGTGCTTTGGTTTGAGCACCCGGGCAGTATCCCTGTCCTCACACTAATCGAATTGTTTATGTAGCGCATATCTGTTTGGTGTCTCATACCAATATTTATGCGTTCAAATAAATAAATAAACATGACTCAATCCACCTGTCAGTGAATTCATGGATTTATGTCATGTTTTATTCTGGCCGCCCCCTCCCCCGCTTTCTTCCAACCTACTCTTACACCAGAAAACATCGCATGTCGGAGTAGTCGGTGGTTGGGCATACATAACACATGTCTCAGCCATCTCAACCGATGAAGCTTCACTACTTCAATTGATTTACCATCCTTACCTAGTACCCGTTTCCTAACAACTGAGTTACTTACGAATATCCTCTACTCTTACCGATCACGTTTCACTGCCACAACTTTGCACGGAACGAATTGCTGCTCGGCAAACCCTTCCTTTGGTTTGTATCTCGCGTACACCATAAATGATGCAAGTTGGCAAGAGCTAGTCGAGCCTTCTGTGTCCGTGCTGAGATTTCGTCACACACCAGACCACAAGGGCTGATGAGACTTCCAAGATAGGTGAAGTGGTTGACACGCTCACCTACTTCACTCCCTATCATTAGTTTTGGGGTCGATGCATCCCGAACATGCTTGCATTGTTGTCAGGCGTCAACCTCTAGTGACGTGATTTTCTGAAACAGTGGTCAGTCAATACATATTTTGTTATTTAAAATTAAATTGACAAGGCAATACAAAGTGTCCAAGTATTGAGTGCTCATGAGATTAGTTAATTAACTTGGATTCCTAATCAAACTGATACTGTAAGACAAGAGCTGAGTAGAATATGTTTCTTATATTAACATAGATAATCATGATTAAAAATCATTTAACAATAAACGACTAAATGTGGCGCATATATACTGGCGCTCTCTTGTACCAATATTTATGTGTTCAAATAAATAAATAAGCAACAATAAGTCATTTTCGATTGTCCTTATTCGTTTAAGTTGTCTTTGTTTCTTTTATTGATTTAATAAATATTGTTATTTATCATGTACAGGTTATCCTTAGAAAATCATATGGAAAAAGAATCATCTTCAGAAAATGTGAAACAGTCGATTCAAAATTTACAAAATCTTTCACCTAAAGATTTATACTCTACAATGAGGGGTCCACACTTAGATACACTTTTCAGATGTTGGCCAACTGAACATATTTCAGACTGTATGTTATGTATTAATTAATTATTTTAACTTGTAAATTCAATTAGTCACAATATTTTATGGTCACTTATAAAATTTATGCTCATTGTTATAATGTTCTATTCTCCACAAATGCCCTGGTACGGCCGAGAGTGAGGAGAGTCCGCTCTCCCTCTCGAAATGCTCTCACATGGCCATTCGTATATAGCCTCTGCCAGGGAATTGCTACTCACTGCATTATCGTGGCGGGGGTGTTTACGAAAATGAGAGGACGAAAAGCGAATGTCCGGATTCCAAACCAATAGTTCACATGGGCTCCAGTATCCTGGGCGAACAAATGGCGTATGAACCAATTGTTGGTCACAGTGATGTTGGCTGACAGTTGTTTTGAGTTTCATGTGTTGTCAAACTGTAAGAATGCGGTCCCTGTTTTGCCAATTCGTACTCAAATATTTACATTAGATTCTCCTTTTTTAACAATGATGCTGACCAGGTACGTGAAAGTTACCACCTCTTCCAGTGCTTCTCCATCAATTATGATTGGGTTCGTTGGTGTTCTCTATGTTGTGTCTGAGGATCTTATGTTCTCCTCAGTGTATGTCCAGGCCTACTGATGCAGAGGTTGCTGCAGCTACACCGATTGTCTTCACCTGCATTTGGTCATATGCATGAAATAGAACGGCCAGGCCATTTGTAAATGCTAAATATGTATTTAGTAAGGTGAACAAATTATTTGTATTACTTTTAGAAAGAGTGATGCGTGAGTAGTAAATAAAAAATTTGTGAAAATTGTCATAAGAATAAAATAACGTGAATGTGGATCATATTTGTATACATATGAGCGAAAAATATATATATCTGCTAAATAGGCTTGTAAACTGTGGTTATGCTTAAGAGGGGAATCTAATATTTTTTACATGCCATAAGGCTTTTTATCCATAGCTATTCATAAGGTTGGTTTAGCCGTGTATCCGTAGGCATCTTTATCTGATATCCGGGAGTAAATCTGAAGCTTAAAAGCATGTATTTACTACATATTTCGGAATTGATGGTGTTGTTGACCTTTGTCGCCTTTCGCTAAACTTCATTGGTAAGTCTATCACTCCCACCAACAACGTACATGCCAGTATCATTTATTTCACATTCATATATGTCATTATCTTTGGAAAAGTCATGTTTTTTTTAATTTGCCAGAACTAGTTACATTTATTGCTCTGTTAAAAAATATTCATATCGTATTTCCTTTTAATTTTTTATCAGTGATTGATCTCACGAAAAAGCTTTCCAAACTTGGTCTCAATTCTGTCAATTTACAGTTGGCTGGAGTTTTGGTTAATCGTGGGCTGAGTAACTTTGTTTCTACTTTGTTGGAGGTAATTATCGTTATACTTTTTATGACGAAAGATAAGTAGGGAGTGGTTTCACTTTGTCTTGTATGCAGTTAGTAACTGGCAACAAAGTTACATTGATGTTGGAATCTAGATATAGCCAGATATAGCTAAGCGAAAACCAATCAGTTTTAAATTTTGCTCACTAAAACACATACACAACTAGCAGGTTCTTTGAGTAAACACGTTTGTAAATACCTCAAAATGGTATGTCTACATAGTTTGCGAATGTGAGTTACTGTACAAAATATTTTGTCATGAATGGCCATTAGTACGTCGATAGTTAATCAATGTGATATATTTTATTCTAGTTACCTGAAGACATTATTGTGTTAAATAATTTTTCCATCACTTGATGATAGCTCAGTTAGAGTTTATCCACCTGAGAATTTTCTTATTCGATATCGTTCTTTAATTAGATATTATACTAGCAATCCTCTCCTTAGTTATTGTACTACATAACAAAAAAAGATGTAGTGAGATTATCACCCCTCTAGACGTGCTTGACTTGTTAAGAATTATGCGTTGCATGTCAAATTCAACTCCATGTATTATCTTATTCATTTCTTAGTACTACAAACTTTTGTGGAATACATATCAATTGTTATGATATATGTATATAGAAGTTATGTATGTTACTGACCTGTCATCCTAACAAAAAAACTACGGGAGCAATAAGAAACCGAATGATTATACTTTCGAATATTGTAATGGTTTCCTATTCCAACAGTACCAATAAGTTTTTTACCTTAACACAATGTGCTAGACACCTTGTACACTGAATTCGTGTGGTATCATGACCATTTTAACAATGAATATTAATTTGTCTTCAATGTCACTTCTGATTTAGAATAACAAAACAGTTCCGTTTACTTTCTTGGTTGGCAATCCACGAAATTCATTGACGAAATCTGAATTTCTGCCTTCTATGGAGTATCTAAAATCTGTTGATTCTCAACATATTCCTGGTTTTGTTGATCATTGTCTCCGCAATGCAGGTACTATTTCTAAATATTTTTGTTGTGGTTTGTCGCTGAGTTCACGGTAAACTCAATCTCTTTTTTGTCGTTGTTACGTTACATTGTACATATTTTTGACAAATTCAGTAAAATCGTAATTAACATAGATTGAACATATTCATGAGTTTCTACAAGTGGTTGATTTCAGAAAATTACTTTTCCAGCTTTCATCATTACATCTTGGTCGAACGGTAGGACTAAAATATATGCTGTTCGATACGGTGTATATAATACAACCAGTCATCGAAATTTTATTATCACTAAAGTTAATAGTCGATCAACAGGCTATTAAGTAAATTGAGATCATCATATATAGATATCTGTCTGTCGTATCATCAGTGACCACCCTACTTTAATTCACCGCACATCACATCTATGTCTACAATTAGTATCCGCTAATTCTATGCAGTTGTGTGGATTGATCCCAGAAATCGGTATATAGCCGATAGCAATTGACTAATAGTAATAATATTCAAGCGATTATTACGATCTCATTTTCCATCCGTCATCCAAAGATAGATTCTTTTAACTAAATACATTAATATCGTTGTCGTTACTTCGGTGTCAACAGTTCAACTTAAGTCGTCATCTTACATCGTAATTCAATAGACAATTTCACTGACGTGAAATCGTGCCGTTTAAAATAGTACATTATTTGTACCCTTAATATAGTCCTGATGTTTTTTTATATAATTTCAGCTTTGTCGACAAACGATGACAACTTATACCAGTTAATTCGTACAGTAGTATCACCACCGTTCAATATGGATCTTCTTCAAGTTTGTATACAACCCACTCTCCAAGTTTTACACCATCGTTTGGAAGTGAGCGAAAATGTAAGTTCTGGCTTTATGCTTCATTTGTCTGAGTTTTAAAAAAACTTAGTTTGAAAGTATCACTCATTTTTGTAATATAAGCGTCCATCACGATTTATTGATTGCTGTAGATCCAGTCGTTGAGAGGAATTTTTTGTTTCGTAACTGGTCAGACAAACTTTTCCAATAATTTTTCTGACACCTTAACTTATTTCATTCGTTAAATACAAAAGTACTCTAAATGAACTGTTTTTCGTTCATCTGCAGTGATTTCGGTCGTTAATTTATGAAAACAAATTGTGGCACTTTTCAAAATAAATCGGTCTAAGTAAATGTCGCAGCATTTTTACTCATACTCTGAGAAGTTATTATTCCTTTTTAGTCGCTTAGCAATAGTTTCTGGCTTGAATCACGGGTTTTAATCTTGAGTATCAGGTCTTACTTTGTGCAACTGTTGACTGTCTCTACTTTCTATGGTTAATCTCAAAAAATTGATTTCTGTCTTTTTTCATTGTAGTTACCAGAAGATATAATTCAAGCTACTCAACCAGTTGTTCAAAAAATTAGTGCATTAAAAGCAAAAGCTTCCAACTGAATCAGAAAGCTCTTGCCCCATTTCTTTCTTCAAACTGCAAAATTATAGGTTTCTTTACGAAGGATTTTAATTGTCTTTAGTCATCATCGTGTACAATAAATTATTACAATCAGCTTCTTGACCTTTTGGTTTGCGCTGGAGTTATTGATTAGCAAGTACTAACTAGAGACACTACGATGCACTTTCCATAAACTAAAAAGGGTTATAACTATAGCACCTTCAGAGTTAGTAACTTATTAATGAAATAATTACCGAAGAACATACCCTCTCATGCTATAAGACATTAACTACTAATATTACATTTTGAGAATGGATGTGTTTTTAGCGAAGATGTCAAATGAAATATCACTGCGTTCACGTGTGGTCTTAAACGATACAGCGAATTACCATGCTTTACCATGGGTACATTTATTAACCTGATCAGCCCTTCTCGGAAGTGGGTGTATTATCCAGTGCAAAGTCTGAATAAGCTTACCCAAACCTCAACTCAATGGACAGTCATTTGTCAGCAATCCCGTTAAACGGCGGTGTGAAATCATGGCAGGTTCGCAATATACCGTTTTCTATTCTTCGTCTTACTGCTTCTGTTGACTGCCAGGGAAGTCCTACTCACTACCCTCTCATGGTAGGACTGTTCACGAAATTGGGAGGACCAGAGGCGTGTCCGGCTATTTACCTTGGTTATCGGGTATGTAAGAGTTGGAAAACATTCCGAACCAATCCTGCACGTAGACTTCAGTATTTTAAGGGAGCAAGTGGTGTATGAACCTATTTTTGGTCGCAGGCTACCACGGGACTGCATCTCCTAACGTTGATGCACTGCCTTGGGACTAGAAGGTTAGGCCAAAGGCTTATCTGAATTTCTAGGCTCTAACTGAATACGTTGGACTGCATACCATCCTCAGGTTAATCAGATTATGGGACGTTTCTGCTATCAGTTAAAGGCTTCCCTAATAGCACATTCAAACCCCGGTTTGTAGACAGAGTTCCTGCCATTAGTTATGTTGAGAATAAGAACAGCTGTCAAAACTGACTCAGTATTCGTCAGCAGAACTAGCCTTCCGGAAGAATCTAAGACTGCCGGATGAATTTTTCAATCCTCGTACTGACAGCAAAAAGCATGATTTAAAAAGTTACTTAGACTAATTACAGGACTAAATGTCCAAACTTAAACCAATTAGTACTCGTGAACAATTGCGAGCGACATATGTAACTAAGGTCCTAGGCAGTTGTACGCACGTGTAGATAAGGAGCAACAAAGTAAACGCACCAGTTATTCATCCGTTTGAAGCCCATGCAAAGTTATTTCAAGAGGACTTAAATATTTCTTTGTACAAAAATTCATGAAACACCAACTCAGTAAGTAATGATGGGCTAAAACCGACTTATCTAGATAAAGAAACATCACACGTGTTACTAGACTGTTTATCTGACAAAACAATCGCAGAATTGAGAAGTATCAATGAGAATTCTGCATAGGTGAATAAAAAGGTTTAGATGGGCACTAATGGATATCCATGGTTTTCATTTCAGCCTGAAATGTAACCACATATCTACTAGAATTTTAGTTTATTAAATTTTGTGTTTATTCAAACAATAAGAAATTGAAATGATTTTCATACCGTTTTTTTAATTATTACCGATATAGTCGTAGCCTTCAGATCTTTTACTTTTAATGTGTGAGTGTTGTATTCGTTTTTCATTCTGAGTACATAAACCATTTACACTTAAACAATCTGCTGAGTACTATAAATCTAAAACATATGAGCATGCGATCTTCGACTGGGATTTTTCTACTAATAGTAGAAGACAATAAGAACGTTGGATAGAAGCATCGAACAAAATCACTATGATTACTTAGTAAGACCCCACACAATGAAAACTCGCAATAACGTCGAATCCCGAAAACAATCCAGGCGAGTTTCACTAGTGTACTAAGTAATCTGTTATGGTTACAATACTTTATAACGTGCATCGTTTTATAATTATATAGATCAGACATGTGTGTATTTTTATTGTTAAAATCACCCACAAACTCATTTTTGGTACAAGATATATTCTCTGGTTTTATATGATACACTACTATTTAAAAGTGGTTTTTAGATGAAGCACTTTGGATTAAACAGTGGCTAATACTTATTAGTGGTTCTCATTTCTAATTTTAGTGTTGCTTCTCCACAGCTATCTTTATTTAAGACTGATGGTTTCAAAAAGAAGTTTCTCTACCAGTTGATTCCTGAGTAAGCGCTATGGAATGTTACAAGTTTGATTAGAAATTTGACGACAGCCATTTGTGCAAATCAGCATCAACAGTCGAACAAATCTGCAAATTGAAAGCATCGTTGCCGTATTTATATAAACGCTGATAGAAATTTCGTGATATTATCACATAAATCGTTTGCGAGTTATACCCCTATTGGCTTAAATCTATACTCTCTCTGGTAATCACATGGCTTGCACTCACTTCATCGTCTCACGAGCATTCAATTAACTGAAGACATTGTACAGTTTATTATCTTTAGCGGTACTATATGAGATGTATTGATTTCATATACTTAGTTTCAAACGGATTGATTTTTAGCTAATGCACAGTTATTTTTAATCATCTATCTACAAACAGAGCTTACAGAACGATTCTCACGGCTAAAATCCGGTTGAACTAATTATTGTCAGTTGTCTATACAAAATTCTGGAAGTAGCCACTAGTGTCATATAACAAAACCTTATTTTATGTATTGAACAGTTCATCTATATATATTTTTCCGTGTCATGTAACTAAAACCTACCGCAAACGTGAGTATTATATTTATACTTATCAACCCGTAAACCTAAGTAGTGTGCTTGCGAAAAATCTGGGAAAATTTATTCGGAGGGATTTATTTGAGAATCTCGATTAAATCCGGATTCCTCCGGAGAAGCAGCATCGCTTCAGAACAGGCTATTCATGTCTCACGAACTTAGTAGTAGCTCGTGTAAGTTAGTGCTCTCTTAAAGATCAAAGTTAGCACATAGATATAGTCCACAATGAATTCAAAAAAACTTCTGACAAAGTTCCTCACAAACGACTGCTATATAAGCTCAGTAATATCGCGGTTGGAGGCAATTTACTAATGTGGACAAAGAACTTCCTAGTTGGGCGCTGACAAAGAGTAAGGGTGAACTCAAAGTTGTCTAGATGAACAACTATGCTTAACGGAGTTCCTCAGGGCACGGTTTTGGGGTCAGTGTTGTTCCTCTTGCATTTAAATGACCATCCTAGTCTCCTATCATCAACTGATAGAAAAAAGTGCTGAAATAATCGATAATAAATAAAGATAACTACGAGAAAACAACACTATTTAATGATAATTGTAAGTCAACTTGTAGAGCGAGTTTGTGTTAGTAGTTTCGTTGGTCGTCATTTCATGACGATATCCAGAAACCATCACGAACTACTGGTTATAGTGTTAAAGATGCCACAAGTATCCAGAGTTTGAAAAAGGTTTACCTTACTTACGCCTGTTACTCCTCGTGAAGGAGCATAGGCCGCTCACCGGCATTCTCCATCCAACGCTGTCCTGGGAAATCCTTTCTAGCTCCGTCCAGTTGTAATTCATCGTTTTCATATCTGCTTCTATTATCCGATGCAATGTGTTCTTTGGCCTTCCTCTTTTTCGCTTCCCTTCAGGATTCCAAGTTAGCGCTTGCCTCGTGATGCAGTTTGACGATTTGCGTAAAGTATGTCCTACCCATCCCCATCGTCTTTTCCTAATTTCTTCTTCGGCTGGAAGTTGGTTTGTTCTCTCCCACAGAAGGCTATTGCTGATGGTATCCGGCCAATGGATGTTGAGTATCTTGCGTAGACAGCTATTTATAAATACTTGTACCTTCTTGATGGTGGTTGTTGTAGTTCTCCAAGTTTCAGCTGCGTACAGTAGAACTGCCTTGACGTTGGTATTGAATATTCTCACTTTGATATTGGTTGAAAGTTGTTTTGAGTTCCATATGTTCTTTAACTGTAGGAATGCTGTCCTTGCTTTGCCAATCCTTGCCTTTACGTCTGCATCTGAACCTCCTTGTTCATCGATGATGCTTCCTAGGTATGTGAAGGACTCTACATTTTCCAGAGTTTCGCCATCAAGAGTGATTGGATTGTTGTTTTTCGCCTTGAATTTGAGGACTTTGGTTTTCCCTTTGTGTATACTGAGGCCTACTGATGCAGAGACTGCTGCTACACTGGCTGTCTTCATCTGCATCTGTTCGTGTGTATGCGATAGGAGGGCTAGGTCATCTGCGAAGTCCAAATCGTCTAATTGATTTCGAGCTGTCCATTGTCTGCCGTGTTTTCCTTCAGATGTCGAGGTCTTCATAATCCAGTCGACCACCAGAAGAAAGAGGAAAGGAGAGAGTAAACAGCCTTGTCTTACTCCAGTCCTTACTTGCAATGCATCTGTCAGCTGTCCTCCATGCATGACCTTGCACTGTAGTCCGTCGTATGAGTTCCGGATAATGTTGACAATCTTCTCAGGAACTCTGTAGTGTCGAAGAAGTTTCCATAATGTCCTCCTATCTACACTGTCGAATGCTTTTTCATAATCAATGAAGTTGATGTATAGTGATGAGTTCCACTCAACTGATTGTTCGATGATGATCCGTAGTGTTGCAATTTGGTCTGTGCATGATCGATCCTTACGGAATCCAGCTTGTTGATCTCGAAGTTGGGCGTCTACTGCATCTTTCATCCGGTTCAGCAACACTCTGTTGAAGACCTTCCCTGGTATTGACAGCAGTGTAATGCCTCTATAGTTTTCACTTTTGCTCAGATCTCCTTTCTTTGGAATCTTGACGAGGTGCCCTTCTTTCCAGTCCATCGGCACTTGTTCCTCCTCCCAAATCTTTTTGAATAGAAGATAAAGCATGTTTGTAGTTGCTTCGATGTCTGACTACAGTGCTTCAGCTGGTATGTTGTCCGGACCCGCTGCTTTCCCGTTCTTGATTTGTCTGACGGCCATTCTGATTTCTTCCTTCGTTGGTGGGTTGACGTCTATGGGAAGATCTGTGTGTGCCGCTTCGATGTCCGGTGGATTAATTGGAGCCGGCCTATTCAGGAGTTCCTCGAAGTATTCTACCCATCT